AATCTGAAGAAGTACATTTGAACTAAGACTTCAATGTTGAGAGGAAGCCAACATACAAAGATCACAGGGAATAGGACTCCAGGCAGATGAAGCCCTTCCTGTGACCTTGAAGCAGTCATGATGAGCAACAAAGATAAGCCCAGTGTGGGAGGAGTGAGATACGATGGGGAAAGAGCAGTGCAGGGTCATGGAGGGCCTTGTGGATTGTACTCAGTTTCACTGCTTTATAGCCCCAGGTTTTTGCTATGCTAACATCCTAGTTAGAGCGAAGATGCAATTTTAAAACAGACAAATCAAGTTCCAGAGACTAAAGGTAGTGAACTGGAGGCAAGCAGCCTGGATTCAGTAGAAAATCAGCAATGCTGTGACCAATGGCAAGAATAAGTACTAATTGCAAGATAGGGTATATATTTTAAAAAGCTGCCAAGGACTGGTTTCTATGTCACAGACCATAAACTTGTATGTGATTATAGTGTGACCATATAATAATTGCTACCTGATGCTACTGCCCCAATAATATTCATTTTATAACTACTATTTATTTGGTATGACTATAGAATTTTATTTCACATGAAACAGTATCATCAGGAAAGTCTTAATCTTGAGAGACAGCATAAGATCTCCAACATATGATGCTGTGCACATAATGGTGACAAGCTGTATTTTTAATCATCTTTCATTTGACTGAACTTCTGTGGAAAATGAATCAATAATGTGGAAATCACAGGTTGTTGGGAGTCTCAGCCAAGACAATGTTGACTGAAGGCGCTTGAAATTATAAATGTTCTTAAGGCATAAAGAGTACTTTTACTGTTAAGTCCATCACCAAATACTGGTGGTGGTGTAAGATTTGAGACAGTGAAGACTGGATATCTTGACCCAGAAAAGAAAATATCCTTCTCCAAAACACCTATTTGCTAACCAACACGTATATAATTTCATTCAGAAACTTATGTGTGCATGGTCTAGTATGATACATTCATTTGTCCACTTAAGGCAAACCTCTGCCAGCTAACTCTTAAGTGACTCTGGGGATAAAGCACTGAATACAACAGTGTCCTTGCCTGCATGGAATTTAAAAGCTTGGGGATGATGAACACTGAACACATCACATGTGAAAAAATGATCACATCTTTGTTAAAATGTGACTATTTAAAAAATTATAATAAAGTAATTGTTAATAATATAACTTTGTTATATTATTATAATCATATTATTAGTAATAATATAAACATCCTTACTAATACTCATTTTTTACCTTTTGATAATGCCATGCTAATGGGTGTGAGATGACATCTCATTGTGGTTTCGGTTCTTATTTCCCTGATGATTAATGATGTTTAATGTTGGTTCATGTCAACATTGGTCAGTTTGTATGCACCTTTGGAGTGTCTATTTGGGTGTTTTGCTCATTTTAAATGAGGTGGTTTTATTTTTTAGTTGTATGGGTTGCTATTTCAGGTCATTAACCATTTTTCAGATATATGATTGGAAAATATTTCTTCTGTATGTTGCCTTTTCATTATTTTATTGTTTCCTGTGTATGCAGAAGTTTTTTTGTTGTTGTTTTTTAAGCTTGCTGGAGTCCCTTTGGGTTGGTTTTTGTTGTTTGCTTTTATTGAATGTGCTTTTGGTGTCAAGTCCCAATAAAAGCATTGCAATGGGCAGAAGCTTTTTCCCATGTTTTCTTTTATGAGTTTTATAGTTTTAGGTCTTACATTTACATCTTTGCTCTATTTTGCATTGAATGTGATTTTTTTTTTAATATGGACATCCAGTTTTCCTTGTCACATTTATTGAAAAAACTAAAACTGTCCTTTCCCCATTGTGTATTTTTTGTGCCTATCTTGAAAATCAGTTGAAAAATTATGTTTGGACTCTGTTCCATTGGCCAGTATATTTTAATGCTCATGCCACAGTGTTTTTATTATTATAGTTTTGTAATATGATTCAAAATCAGGAAATAGGTCTCCAGCTTTGTTCTTTTTCATTTGATTGTTTTAACTACTTAAGGTCTATTTTGGTTTCATACACATTTTAAGATTTTTTTTTCTTCATGAAAAATGTCGTTGGAATTTTGATATAGATTGCATTGAATTTATAGATTCCTTAGATAGTGTGGGCCTTTTGAAAACGTAAATCCCAGCAGCTTGGGAGACTGAGGCAGGAGGATTGCAAGTTCAAAGCCAGCCTCAGCAACTTAGCAAGGTCCTAAGCAACTTTGTGAGACCCTGTCTCAAAATGAAAAAGGGCTGGAGATGTGGCTTAATGGCTGGGGCCCCTGGGCTCAAGGCCTGGTACAAAAAAGAAAAAATTATTTCAATCTATGGACATGGGGTATCCTTCCATTTATTTGTATCTTTTTTCCATTTCTTTCATCAGTGCATAGATCTTGCATTTTCTTTTTTGGTGAGAATATAAATATTGTATGGCCACCATGGAAAACAGTAAAGAGGTTCCTCAAAAAATTAAAGATAGAGTTGCTCTATAATCTAGCAATCTCACTTCTGGGTATATGTTCAAAGGAAATAAAATAATGATTTTGACAACATATCTGTACTCCTATGTATATTGCAATGATATTCAAAATAGTGAAGATATGGAGACAGCATAGGTATGTGTTGATAGATGAAAAAAGAAAGCATTGTGTGTGTGTGTGTGTGTTTTCACACACCATGGAATTCTATTCAATCTAAAAGAAGGAAATCCTGTCATTTGCAATAACATGGATGAATCTGAAGAACATTGTGTTTAATGAAATAAGGAAGACAGAGAAACAAAAATACTGCATAATCTCACTTATGTGGAATAAAAAAAAAAGTCAAACACATAGTGACATAGTTATGGTTACCAGGGGCTACCACAGGAAAGGGGAGATACTAGTCAAAGGGTTCAAACTTTCATTTATAAGACAAATACATTCTGAAGACCTCATATGCAACATGGGCAACTATAGCTAATGATGATATATTGTATACTTAAATTTACTAAGAGCAGATGTCGAGTATTCACACCAACCTAATCCCCTCCCCCCAAAACTAACTATGTGAGGTGGTGAATGTTTCAATCAGCTTGATTGTGGTAATTCCACAATGTATACATATATCAGAATACTACCCTGTACACATTAAAAAACATGCAATTTTGTCAGCCATTCTTCAATAAAGCTGGGGGATGGGGAGGAAGTAGATAAAATCTTATGAAGTGGTTGTCTCTCCTGATTCATAAATTTTATATTTTTTTAAGCAAGCTTTCTTTTGCATTTGATTTCAAATCTTTGCACTGCTTCTTGCTTAACTGCAGTCCTTCAGAGTTGTAGGTGATAGCTGAGCCTTGTGAAGGCTGGGACAGGTAACATGAGATATGATTGGTAAGACTTAGGCTCTGAAGTTAGACGAGGTGCCGCAGTCTGGCTGGGCACACAATCACGAGCCACCACACAGCTTGTAGATTCAAACAGCAACTCTTTATTCCTGAACTCACACCAGCCGTCTACAATCACGTTCTGGGGAAATCCATGTTCTCTGCCCAAATCCACTCCCACTGGGCTTCTGTCTCCCAAAAAATACTCTGAACCCCGTGAGAACTCAAGGGGAACTCAGGCAGCATGATACGCCCTATTCCCAGCAGGAATAATCTTAAACCTGGAACGCCCTAAACCCAATTATCCTAAACCGGGAACACCCTAATCCGCCCTGGTCCTTGAGCAAGGTCACCTACATGCAATGTCACTGCAACATGGGGTACGCTGGCAAGGAAATTGTCATACCTACTTGGCTAATGGCTCCCAGCAACGAGGCTCTTTGAATCCCCCCTCCCCCACTGCAATGTGGTAATACATCTATGACTCAGTTTCCTCATCTATAAGGTTAGGATGCTGATAGATTGCTGTAAGATTCAGTGAGATGATATAGGCAATGTGCTTAGTGCCTGGGAAACTGCATTCTCATTTCAAGTAAACTGTGCATATTAAGATTGTCATCTACCTTCTGCCTTCTCACTACAGTTATGTGACTTCGTGTTCAGATGCACAGCAATATTAGGGAAGTCTTCAGGGTTTAATGTTTTCTGGGATGTATGAATAGTACAGTCAGGAGCCTGGTTTTGACAGTCAGCTACCCAGGTCTGAGAGATTCTTATGAATTGCCATATTCATTATCAACTCTGTCCTGTGCTAACAGTTTGTAACTGTCTTTTGCAGAGTTAAAGAGAAAAGGGGACACTATTACACCTAGGAGAGCATCTTTCAAACATTTCTGACAGGAATTTACCATAGAAATATTTTATATTAGATAAAGTTCACATGTATTATCTACATATTCAAAACAAAGTTTCGCTATAGACTATCTGCTTCTACTATCTGTAATGCAATATTTTCTATTTCATTAAGTTGTCATTACATGTTATTATATTTCCTTACTTTCCAAAGAAAAGACCAGCAGTTTGAAAAATATTTATCTGATATCCACAGGCCTAAAGAAGAATAGAAATATGAATAAGAACAATGAAATGAGATAATCCTTGGTCTAAATATTTCCTCAGTAATTATTATTATCTTGCACACAAAAACAAAACAGAATAAATACTAGTTGTTAGGTGAATTTTTATAAGGCAGAAAATAACTTGCCTTTAAGCCCTTCTTATAGTTTTGAGTTAGTCTTATTTTTCCTCTTAAAATTTGTAGTCACTCCTGTTCCACTAAAATTGTGGACTAGATCATCAGTAGAGGGTAATATCCATTCCAGGCAGCCAGGAAACCCCTCTTCTACTCCTGGCTGTGTCATTGTTCCCTAGGTAACTGGTCTACTCTGAGTTTCAGCTCCTTGACCTGTATGAGGGAGTAACAGTATTTGTGTTTCCCCAGGTTTCTTTGAGGATCAAATGGTATAATAATTAAAATTGTTTTGTAAACTAAAGTCCTCTTTTAAAATGTGAAGACTATTGGGCTGTTAGGTTATGCATTTGTAACTTTTCTCTTTTTTTAAAAAAATTTCTCCTAGATATCTCAATTGAATACACTGATTACACTTTTGCTGGGAGAACTTCCACCTGGAGACAGGCAGAAGATCATGACGATTTGTACTATAGATGTGCATGCCAGAGATGTGGTAGCAAAACTTATTTCTCAGAAGGCAAGTTGTTTGTAGAAACTTTATTTTTCCTAAAAATGGTATTTATGCCAGAGTAGTTCCAAGAAAGTCATTGTTTTTTCAAAGTTTATATAGTTTAATTAGTCCTGAGAAGCTCTAGTTATTTTTGGTGTGTTGATTTGGGTTAGCTAATATATTATCCTGACGAGAGTAATCCCAAAAAAATATCCCAAAGGGTTTTTCCAATGCAGGAGCCTCCAATCATCCAAAAATCAATCCAAAAGAAAGGACCATGAAATGTCAGTGCATTTGTGTCCCTGTCTTCTGGCTTCTCTGTGCATAACCACATTGGCCCAAAAACCTGTGACTCTCACCTGTGTGACTTATGCAGCCAGTAGCAATAAGATGGTGTGTCATTTAAACCATCTGTGTGGCTTTGATCTACTTCCCCTTGAAGAAATTGATGTTGGTCATAATTCTGCCTTGCTTGGGTTATCCTGTGTCTTTTCCTGTCATAGCTAGATAATTCACTTATAAGAAGTTTTTCTAATCTATTCAGTGTTTTAGTGACATATTTTCCTTATCTCTTCAAAAAGGCCATGTGTTCTTAGATGCTGTCAGTGTTTAATGTAAAAGGAGAATTTTTCTCACACTTTTCCCTTAAACTACATTTCTCCCTATGAATGCCAGAAATGCACTTGTCTATTGAACAATGTTGCCACAATCCCTCTCACCCACTTCCTTTAAACCCGTTTTCTGGGGGTGGTCATACTACAGTAAGACAATTCCTTTCCCAATTTAGATGCATGCAGGTATTATAAAATGCCTTCTGTTTATTTTCTACTTATTTCTACCCTTATTAAAATCAAAGTAAATGTAATTCTCTCTGAAAACTACAAGAAAATGCTTCTTTGTGTAAGCTATAAACACGCCTTGACCCAGCTTCAGTACCATTAGTGAGCAATGTTAATTTAATCCAAGATTGATCCTTGCAAAACACCATTTACCAAGTGTTCTCATTTTGAGAATGAACTGTTGATGACTACTCCTTGAACATGGCCTTGTACCTTTTGTACTGTTTTATCAGTCTGCTGATTCATTTGCAAGAGGATGAATTATGATTAAAGAGGCATACTTTGTTTTGTACTAAGGAGATCATTTGTCTAATTCTTGCCCATCTAAAATAAAATGCTGAACCCTGCATAGTCATCAATTAGTAGATAATAATTTTGGTGACTTCAAGAGATTTTCAAGGTCCCATATACCTTGAAAGAGGATATATATATAATATGTGTGTGTGTGTGTGTGTGTGTGTGTGTGTGCGCGCGCATTTAAAGCTGGCAGAGAAATATATAGTATTGAGTAAAGACATGAAAGAATAGCAATGAAAAAATAGTATTTGCTGTGATGAAATATGAAAAGTATCTATACTAAGAACAAACTGGTTTTAGAATGAACATGGCTGAAAGTATAGTTTATACTGAGATACAGAAATTATAGATTATGTCTCATTTTGTATAGAATGTATATTTCTTCATTGGATTTTGGTGATATGAGTATGAAGTAATAACATTAATCCTCTGGAGCAATTCATAAAGGAGAAGAAGCATTGCTTGAACAAATTGATATTGTTTCACATAAAAGCCACTTTAAAATGAAAACATATTACATACATATTTCTTATTAAGTAGTCAACCATCTATATGAAGTTACAGTTTGCAGTAGCATACAAGGGCTTTCCTATTCATGAGATTTTAGAAATAAAGTGAGAGCCAATACATATGATTACATTAACAAAACTGTGGTCTCAAAATTATCAGGAGTCCTGTGTGTAATGAGTATGCACTGATTCCAGGTCGTCAGTCCCCAGGCTTTTGCTTGGCTATCTCAGCTTCGTCACCAGTGGGAGGACACCCAGAAACACTGCATTGTTAATATCTGTGATGCCCAGTTCCAGTACTTCTATGAATACTTAGGAAATAGTCCTCGACTGGTGATCACTCCTCTAACTGACAGGTAACAATTTCAAGTTTGAGTCAGATGAGAAAAATCAAGCCCAAAGTCTCCTAGCATGAGTGTTGATGTGTGACATTGAAAAGAAGGGAATGAGAGAAAATAATCAACAGTATGAAAGTAGCATGCGTGTTAACTGATGGTGTCAATAGTGAACATTGATTTTAGAGAAGAGTTAGAGAAGAGTGTGAATGGATGGGATGAAGAGGAGCAATAAACAAATAAGTTATTTTAGGTAATCATATGTTACAACAAAAAAGGATGATGTGTTTAAAAGTCTCTTGAAGGTAGAATCCACCATCGTTTGATACCCCTTACCTGAAATGCTTGGGGACCAGAAGAGTTTCAGATTAGGACTTTTTTGGATTTTGAAATATTGGCAGACTTTATGGTTGAATATCCTTACTCTGAAACTTTAAAGTATGAAGTGATTCAAATAGGGACTTTTTTGAATATTATGTCACCACTCAAAAAAGCTCATATTTTGGAGCCTTTGGGATACTCAGCATATACAGATTGAGAGAGCATTCAAGGTGAGACCTAGTGATAATGCAGAACCAGTTATGCACAAACCTGAGGTGCAGAGAAAAGGGGAATCGGGGCTCAGCACACATGAATAAAAGGGAAGAAGCATTTTTAAGTTTATCAATATGTGAAGATTGATGGCTTATTAAATTTTTAATTTCAAAAATTGCTGTGCACTTTATTTGAAAGTTAAAAGGAAGATGAGCACATACAAATATGTAACAACAAATCCCACTATTAATGTATAATTATAATGCACCAAAAATATGGAGAAAAGATGATGAATGTTCATTCTGATAGTGGATGTTTGCATTGTGTGTATCTTTTTATCATTTCATTCTCTGTATGAAATTGTTAACATTAACATCATGATGTCTTTTATGCATGTTCATCATGTCTTGTTTGATGCTGACCATCTCTTTGAGAGTTAGGCAGGTAGACAGTGTCTTTCCTATGTGGGCAGGTTCAGAGACAGACCAGTCAGCTTGTACCTGATAGACTAGTGCTGAAATACAGTGAATCAATTAGGAGGATGCAGGCTAAACTGCTCTTATAGAGAGACCACAAAATAAAATGGCCTAACTAACAGAAGCTGATGTCTCACATATCAGCCCAGAGGCAAGTGAACCAGCAGCATAGACTGGCAGGTGGCCAACATACCATCCAAGAATTCCATATTTGTTTCAGCCAGTGAAAAGGGGCATGGAGAACCCAGGTCACACATCTTCAAGGAAATTAGCTTAGGAGTGCCATTTCTGTACATATTATGTTGGTTGGAGCTTGGTCACTTGGCCACTCTTGTTTGGAAGATGGGTAGAAAATCTAGATATAGGTAGCCATGTCCATCCCAAACGTATAACCTCTGGAAAAGCCTACAAGAAGATATATAGTCTCTTCTACAGACGATTCTCATCTAGAAGTCTTTCCACTCCACTCATTGTAAGATGCACTTGGATATAAGATGCAGTGGATGTAAAATTCAAAAACACCTTCCATTTTTATAAGTAACTTCTTCTATTTGCAGAGTAGTTTGAATTCCTTAAGGCATTTTCTTTTGGCTTTCTTCATGTTTTTACAATAAACTTCACTTTATGGAGGTGAAAACTGAGACGTACTGATGTCAAAAGGATTAAGATTAACATCTGATGATCTGCAAAGTAGACACAGTCACTCGTGTCCTGACCTCCATGTATGTGTCCACTAGATCCATCTCTGTATTATGACAAAAATAATTTATAAACCTGAAGAAACACCAAATAAAGAGCATTATCCATTTGAGATCTTTGCTATTTATTAATCTTTCCTTCAAAACAAGAATTAAATTCTGTCTTTGCATGATTTTCTTCAGTCTTGAATCTTCTCTTTCCTGCAATAATATTACAGTAATATAAATGCATATAGCAACATTTCCAAAATGAATTCCTAAAATTATGTTTTATTATATTAAATTATGTTACTGCATATTTGCCTTATACATTGAAATAATTATATTTGCATATTATGTATTTATAAATTTACACAGCTAAGCTCTTAATATATTTATTAGGTAGTGATTTAATATGGTCAGTGTTTAATTCATACATAATCCAAGATTTCTATTTTTTTAAAATAAACAATAGCTTGAGATGTTGTCTGACATGTTAATAGTATCCTTACCTAGATAGATTAGAAATTCAATTACATTGCAAATTAACTGTTGTTTGTATTCAAATACACACCTCTTAGGAAATGAGACCAATAAACAAATAAGCCAATCCATTCTTCTCTAGTAGTTTTAACCAACATAAAAATAAATTTGATATAAGATGTTCTGACATTGTAGCATGAACAAAGGACAAATACATTAATACTATGTGTTACTACCACATTCCCAACCTTAGCTGCTTAAATGTTTTTTAAGAAAATCAATTGCCCCTAATGTTTTATAGACATCTCATATGAGACTGTAATATTTGTTTTCTATTGTGAATAGGTGTTATATTACTCTAACTCAGTCACTTCATCTAACCATGAGCGGGGCTCCATCTGGCCCAGCGGGTACAGGGAAAACGGAAACCACCAAAGATCTTGGACGTGCCCTTGGCATGATGGTTTATGTATTCAACTGTTCAGAGCAAATGGACTACAAAGTAAGTTATGAAACAATGTATAAAATTCTAACAAAATGATTTCGGTTTGGAATGAGTCTTATCTGAGGTGCTTGGGACCAGAAGAGTGTGGATTCAGTTGTTTTCAGATTGAAATATTTGCTTATACACAATAAGGTATCTATCTTGGGGTTGGGTCCCAAGTCTAAACCCACTATTAATTTATATTTTATGTACATATACCTTTTACATAGACTGAAGGCAGTTTTGTATGATTGTTTTGATATTTTTGTGCATGAAATAGTTTCATGGCATAGAATTTTCTACTTGTTGCATCATGTTGGCACTAAAACATTTGGGAGTTTTGCAACATTTTGATTTGAAGATTGGGAAGACTCAACCTATAAATGCTTGAAATCCCCTTCAGCGCAACTCTGAATGCTTCATGTTGTCATTTAGTCCATAGGAAATGTCTACAAGGGGTTGGTGCAGACAGGAGCGTGGGGCTGCTTTGATGAGTTCAATCGCATTGCTGTGGAGGTCCTGTCCGTGGTGGCAGTGCAAGTGAAAATGATCCACGATGCCATCAGAAACAGGAAACAGAGGTGAGTGCCACACGGCTTTTTGCTCTCTCATTTCAAATAGAAAAAGTGACATGGAATAATGCAGGTAACTCCACCTCTCTGTTGTATGAAATAAGAAATAGTTAATTTTGAAGAATTATTTTTCATATTCTTCCATTTTATTACGGGTTTATTGTGTTGAATACAATAAAATCCTATCATGCTTCTTGAATCTCTAAAGAACGACTTCTATGATGCTAAATCTGGTGATCAGTTCTCTATCCTCTTTCTTGACTTTGCAGGAAGCATCTGACTCCCTACTGTGTGATTCACTTCTTCATGGGGTTTGCAGGACGCCACACCTCCCACTTTCCTCTGGCCTCCTGGCTGCATCTCACCTATAAGATGGGGAAAAGTTTAGCATCCACCTTGTAGATCACTGTGGTGATTCAGTGGACAGCACTGGGACAAGTGTCTTCCACATAGCAGGCACCACAGTAAAGCTAGCTATTGTGTTTTATTGTTTTTATTTTCTGAGCTATTAATATTGAGTATCTCAGGGCTCAGTCTTTGAACTTCTTTCCTGTTTCTGTATTTTCTCCTTTGGTGATTTCATCTAGCGCTTTGGCTTTCAGAAACTATCTCCATGTTGCCAGCTCCCTCCCAGCTGGCTACCCTCCTGTCCCTCATCTCTAGACTTATGAAAACTGCTGCTTGTTGGGGCACCTCAGGACTCAGTTTGATGTCTCAGAAGCCTCTCATGTTTAATTTGTCTGAAATCAAAATCTTGGACTTTCCACCATCATCTGTTTGGTTAGTTGCCCCATCCCAGTAGATGAAAACTCAAAGTTCTTTTAGTAACTTGGGGAAAAAACTATTCACATATATCCAAAGTGTAACCACTTCCTGTATATGATGCCATGATCCAGATGGCAAAACAGCTGGCAATTAGGGTGTGATGGCTTAGTATGAGAAATAGACTATAGCACACAGCACAATTCTGGTTCTCTTTATAAACTCCTGTTTTTGTTTTTATACAAATGCAACCTCATTTATTTGGCTGATCTATCCCTCGCATTTTTTAAGGGTGTTTTGCTCAGTTAGCTATCATGTGCATGACGGCATCTTTAATCTCCCCATTGATGAAGGATTATCTTGCCCATTAGAACTACGAACCTGTTCTAGAAGTATTCAGCTTATCAGTGGACACATCCAGATGATTCCATCTTCTAGAAAACTTCTGTTTTTTCCCTATATGGGCCTGAAACACCAGTTTCCTATGTTTAGATGCCTGTTGTTTTACCTGCCCCTACCCTAATGCCACATTAGAGAAGTTCATCTCTTTTCTCTTTGATCCCCAGCCATATTTTATTAGTTCTTGCCTGACACCTAGAATATGAAGACTTCTTCATGTTTACCTTGATGAAAATCGTATTATATGAAACCCAGATGCCATTTGAGGCCCTCCTTTGTTGTGGAAATTTATGTAACTGACCATGCAGTGATTTCTGAAGATTCCCAGCCACACTTCCTGGGAGTCTCCTGTGTCCACATTTTGGAATCATGTCCCTTGATCCTTAGGCTGGCCATCTGCAGTCTGGAGTCTCTTCCATTGTTTGATGAGTTGATGAAATTCCCTTTGCCCTCAAGGAAGGATTTAAGAGATGGAAGCATGCCTGGACCACAAAGACTTGCAGTATCTTGTGGCCTACTTTGTAGAGGTCCACATCTTTGGCTGGTGGCTGTCCCTGCTATATAGGGGGTGAGATATGGCAATAGCTACTTGTCTCCCACTTTCTGAGCAGTCCTGTTTGCCTTCCCTTGCCTGCACCTAGAATATGAAGACTTCTCCATGTTTACCTTGACTCTGCAGAAATCGACCTGCTTTTAATTATCCAGTAGATAACATACTGTGAGTTCTAAACATGGTGGGTTTTTCCTCCAGATCTTTTCCCTCCCTGTTCTGGGTTAAAGGTCCAGCTCCACAATACTTGAGCCCTCCCCCCTTTTCAGCCAGAGATCTTGTTCAGACAGCCTTGCATTTTGTCTCCCTGCTCCATCTGAAAGTTTTTTTTCGACTCGTCTCTCAATTTGGCTCTTATAGCCCTTTACCATTCCATTACCCTGGCCATCAACAGCCTAATGGGGCCCTTGCAAATTTTTTCTGAAAATCATCGATTCTCTATGCTTTCAGGTGATAATGATAGCAATGGTCATAGCTAACATCTGTTGAGCATTTACCATTTCCTAATCAGGGTGGTCTTAACCAGACACTTTCATAATCTCTCTTAACTTCTCACATAATGAAATACGGTGGGTCATATTATTATCGTCTTTTATTATTAGAGGAAGGAATTGGAGCATAGAGAGGATAATTAACATGCCTAAAGTGATACAGTTGCATTCTGAACATTCACAGTCTGGCTCTAGAGCTAGCTGTCATAACCATCATGCCGTTTTACCTCTCAGTAATATCAGTAGATGTTTATTGAATAAATAGGGAGAAAGGAAGAGAGCCATGAGCAAATAGACAAAGACTGAGCAGGGAGCCCCTTTCTCCTCTCTGCATGGAGAATTTCCATCTATGCCGTATCCCACTCACGGACTGCAGCCCACATTGAAGGCAAAAATGCTCTCCCCTTTGATTCAGTGTTCAAACAGTCCAGCCCTCGTTTGTGTATTCTAGGACACTATGGTATGCTAAGATAAAAAAGAGTACTTCTCATATTGGTAATTCCTCTGGGGGAAGGGAGGATATTTTTTTAATAAACATGCTTCAAAACATATTCAAAATATGTATGCTTATGAATTTTAAAGAAATCACACAGAATACACAGCCTCCTAATGATAATTTGCATTTTGCAGTGTTTTGCATTTGTCAATGCACGTTCGTATTCAATGAGCACATTTAATTCCGTCGGCATTCTTTTTATGGTAGATTTGTATTTCTTGGAGAAGCTATCACACTGAAGCCATCAGTTGGAATATTTATTACTATGAACCCAGGATATGCTGGTCGAACAGAATTACCAGAAAATCTCAAAGCTCTTTTCAGGCAAGTGTTATGCTTTGCAACTTAGCATCTGGTACACTCATGCCACCTAACGTTGTTGGCTTGCACTGTTAAGTGATTTGTTTTTACTTGAGAATTCCTGTGGAAAACTCAGTATTTCTTGGGGATCCCTTTGTAATAAAAATTTTCCTCATGGTAAATTAATGCTTGTAAACTAGGAAACCAGGATTCAAAATCAGTATTTCAAAGTTATGTGGTAAGTTTAACTATTTTTTATGTTTTATTATAATTTTCACATATTATAAAATATTTGGGAAATATGGAAAAGAATAAAGGAAAAAAATCTTAGAATCACCACCCAAAATAAAGGTTGTTGTAGGGTTTTTTTTTCCAGTTTACATTGTATGGTACTAAGAAATTATAGTAAGCATGATTTTTATTTAGTTCTCTTCATTTAACATTTCTAAGATACGTATTTTCTTTTTTTGGAGGTTCTTTGAAAGTATCATTTAATGTAGCTTTAAAAATGTCGCCCTCATGGCTTGTCTGTGGTTTTGAAACCATTCCTTATTGTCTGACATGTAGAGTTTTTTTTTCTTTTATATTTTTATGATTACAAAGTAGCCTATAAATATCTATGCACATAAAAATATTCTTATTTCTGATAATTATCCCAGAATAAATTGCTAAATGTAGAATTACTAGGTGAATGCCTATTGATGACTTGCTTTCTAAAAACCCTCTGCCAAGGAATATCTTTGCCAGCAGTCTATAAGGGAATCTATGCAACTACATCTGGTTCCATTATAATTCACTTATCTTTTTAAATCACCTTATTCAGGTATAATTTAATGCAATGATATGCTCCCATTTAAGCATGTAGTTGGTGAGCACTATGGCAGTCAAGATGCCAAAGGTACTTCACATACCCCCCTGAAGTTCTCATGCCTCTAAAGTTACCCCCAACACAAACACATACTTCAGACCTGTTCTCTATGATCATAGATTAAATAGCTTTCTTTGATACAAACGAACCTAGACAATATGTACTCACTTATATCTGGCATCTTTCTTTGATTATTATGGTTTTGAGATTCACCCCATCATTGAGCTTTCCAGTACTTTGGTGCTTTTTATCACTGATTGGTATGCTCTTACATACCTATTATCCTATTACAATTTGTTATTCATTCAATTGATAGACATGCATTTAGTTTGGGGCTATTATAAATAAAGCTGATAGGAATATTGTTGTAAATCTTTGCATGAATGCATGTTTTTATTTCTTTTGGGTAAATAGCTAAGAATGGAATTGCTGGCTTGTATGGCGAATGTGTGTTTTACTTTTTAAAATCTGCAATCTCATTGCAAAGGGGATTGTGCCATTTTGCAACCTCACCATTAATACCTGAGAATTTCAGTCAGGTATTATATCAGTCATATGATCAGTCTTTTTAGTTTTTTCCAATCCAATAGATATGTAGTGGTGTGTCACTGTGGGTTTACTTTGCATTTCCATGCATTCTAATGATGAACATTTTTTCATGGATTTACTGGCCACCCTCTTACCATCTTTTGTGAAGTACTATATTCTACATAAATTTCCTTCATTAGATAGACACTGATCATTGCAAAGTTTTTCTCTTATTTTTGTGTCTAGCCTTTTGTCTTAATGATTAAATTTAATAAATTTATCAATTTGTTTTATATTATACTCAGGAAACTGCCTAGCACATGCTTGCAAAATTTTTTAATTGTTTTCTTCTACAAGTGAAGAGTGTTTTGTAGTTTTCATGTTTTTTCCCCTTTATTCTGTTAATGTGCTGAATTAGATTAATTTTCCAATGCTAAAGTCCTTCAGTATTGCATTCCTTGGATAAACCCCTCTTGGTCAGGTGTTATTTTTTACATGGATTGCTGATTCAGTATGTTGCTGTTTTGTTAAGTTTTTTTTTTTTTTTAATCTGTGCTATGAGACTGGGGCTGGAGCTCAGTGGTAGAGAGCTTGCCTGGCATGTGTCAGGACCTGGGTTCAATCCCTAGTACTGAGAAGGAAAAAAAAAAAAAAAACTATGATAACAGAAATATTGGTCTGTAGTGTTCTTTCTTATAATCTTTGTCTGGTTTTGGCATCACAATGATGCTAATATCATGAAATTAGCTGGCAAATGTTCTCTATTTTCTTAAGACTTTGTATAGGATTATTACTTATTTAGTCCATAATTTTTTGATAGAATTAATCAGTGAAGCCATCTGGACCTAGAGTTTTCTTCATGGGAATCTTTTTAATAATTGAATTTTTTGAAACATATGAAGCAATTGAGGGTTTAATTGTTTTCTTGAATGAGTTTTAATAATCTATATCTTGTAAGGAATTTTTTGTCTAGATTATCAAATGTGTTGGAATACATTTGTTCAAGTTACTCTTTCACTATTTATAGTGATGTCCTAAATTCCATGTCTGATGTGTGTAATTTGTCTTCTTTCTCTTTTTCCCTAAGGATAAGATAGAAGCATACCAGTTATATTTTTCTGGAGTTCTTAGGGTTAACAATATGTGTCTTTTATTTAGTGTGCCTTCAAAATAATATACCACTTTACATAATGTTGTAAGAACCTCTGTAGTAATTAGTGTGATTTTTTTCAGTTTTTTTAAATTTAAAATTTGCCTTCACACTCATCTAGATATTTAACCATATTTCGTTTGAATTTTCTATTTTTTTTATTTGCATAGTTTTCTCTATTTAATTTCAAAAAGAGTCCAGGAAAATTTGTGCTTACTAAAATACTCAGTCACATGTATGTGTGATGAATTTCCTAATCTTTTCATGTTTTTCAATGTAATTTATCTAATGAGAACTTATTTTGGTAGGTAATATGAAGTGAGTATTTAAGTAATCCTTCTCCCTAATAGTTAATCAAATATTCTAACATCCTATATTGAATGTTTTTCTTTTCTCAAAATAACAGCTTTCTCTTACATAGTAATTTTATAATATAATACTTTATATTCTCTCAAAAAAAATTCTAGATAAACTCTCCTATAAATGAAATGTAATAATTACAGAACACCTAAAAAATAATAATGAAACAGGTATGCCTCTATCTTATGCTTAGGGAAAGTTATTTATTTATTTATTTTCATATGGTGCTAAGGATGGAACCCAGTGCCTCATGCATGTGAGCCACATTCTCTGCCACTGAGCCACAACCCTAGCCCCTTAGGGAAAGTTTTGTGTGAAAATTTTTCAACTTTTCAGGTTTTTAAAATATTTATGACCCAATTTATCTCATGTGTTTGTTTATCTGAGTCTCAAAATTTGAAACTGTTTAATGATGTGTTCATAAATCTTGTTTAAGGAATTAGATATGGCAGCATTTGTTAGTTTCAGTAAAATCTAAAGATTCTGCGTGGAGAAAGCATTGTTTATGAGTAGAGATTGTATGTTTGGGTCCTAGGAATCTCCTGATTCCACCACTTACCAACACGTGGCCTCAGGCCAGCACATGTACTTTGGGAGATGTCAGTCTGTACTTCTGTAAATGCATGTAAGAGGAGTAGCTGCCTGATAGTATTGTGAGAATTAAGTGGAAGGATAAATTTAATACCCTAATATGGCATGGAGTAAGTGCTCAGTAAATGTTATCTGTGGGTAGGGATGTAGCTCAGTGGTAGAGTGCATGGTTAGCATGCGTGGGATCATGGGTTCAATAACCAACACCATAAAAGTCAATCAATATCTATATTAATTTGAGCTTAAAATATGTAAATATTGCTGGTCTTTTCTCTCCCCTGTTTACTTTTTAATCTTTATTTCCTCTATCATATGATGAATAGTAATAATGTGAGGAAAAGTAGGGGATCAGCTTAGATATATGAAATGTTCCATAACCTAAGAAATAAATCCTGGGGAATGTCTAGGATGATGTGATGTGCGTAAGGTAGACTGTAATTATATTTACCAAAACAGGTAGATAAATACTGCGATGTAGTTTTTTTGTTTGTTTATAAGCAAGATTTATTTCTAACTAGATCCTAGCTTGATATTCTACAACATTTCCAAAAAAGTAATTAATAATCTGCCAAATAGAAAAGACAAGAATGTTTTTTTTTAAAAAAAGTCCACAAATTCTTCCTTGAGTTTGTGATTTTTAATTGTGATGTAGTTTTAAAACTCTAAAATAATGGGCTCGTTTGTTCTTGCTCCTTCTTTGTGCCTAGATTTAATTGAATGGCATGTTTTTTTACATGTTGCTATTACTGGCAACTATCTTTAGGAAAGACTTTTTGGAAGACACCTCCAAAGCCAGGTGAATTTAAAGCTATGTTTTTCTAGACTTTCATTTCAAAAGTTTCTCCAGGCTGGCCCCAGGCAGTGTTGTGCTAAAGATGGTTTATATAAGTTTTTGAGAGCTGATGGTTAAGTGTTCACAAATTGTATGAGCCGCTGGTTTAGCTGCTGACAAAAGATAAATTTTATCAACTCTATTTTTTTTTTTTTTTTTTTTTTTTTTGGTACCAGGGATTGAACTTGGGACACTCAACCTCTGAGCCATTTAGAGTCAGGGTCTTACTGAGTTGCTTAGTGCCTCACTTTTGCTGAGGCTGGCTTTGAACTTGCTACCCTCCTGTCTCAGCCTCCTGAGCTGCTGGGATTACAGGTGTGTGCCAACATGCCCAACAATATCAACTCTTGATTAAATAAATTATATCACACCAAAGGTCACAAATACTCAACTCGACTTCATGATTATTTTACTAATGGTTATGCTCTGAAGGTTAGTTGTGGTGTCTGTATAGTGCTGATCTACAGCACATCTCTCAGCATGGTGTTTAGGGATGGAAGGCTAGATTGAAAGCAGCCATGGTGAAGGGATTTATCCATGGAAATTAGCTAGCACTGTTTTGGGGATGGATGATCATTCCCTCTTTGCCAGTACACCGCTAGCCACTGGTAAAGCTGGCCTCTCATAGATCATCCACTGTTGTTCTTTTTTGCAGTGACAAACACCAGGCTGGTAAACCTACTGGAAGAACTTGAGCAGCTCTGTGGTAGGGTGCCTCCTTAGCACGCTGAATACCCTGTGTGTCATCCCCAGCACCAAATAAAACAGATAAAAAACAAAACCAAAACAAAACAAAAAGGAGTTTACAGACTATATATATTGATTTTTTTTTTAAGACTTCTTCATCCAGACTTTTCCATTTCTGACTTTACATCTTTTCCTAGGTAACCAGTCACTAGTGGATGTTTTTTAGTTGAATGGAAGGGTCTTGTAGCTGTGATTGACAGAGGTAATTGTGATCTGCTTAGGACTGGTGAGAATGTTGGTACAGATTAATCACTTGATTTAAGCAACTTGGACTCATGACCTTATCACATTTTAAAACTAAATTTCATGTTTATATTTTAGACCCTGTGCCATGGTGGCCCCTGACATCGAGCTGATCTGTGAAATCATGTTAGTTGCTGAAGGTTTTGTGGACGCACGCTCATTAGCCCGAAAGTTCATTTCATTGTACATGCTCTGCAAGGAGCTCCTGTCCAAGCAGGTGAAGGGTCTTTTGTTACTTTTCCTTGGTTTTTACATCCCATTAAAACAGCTTTGGAAATATGGATGTTGGGTAATTTAACATTCAAATTACACTTAGGAATTTCTGTATGTTACATAGAATTTTGAAAATCATATTTTACAAAATTTAATTTTTTTCTGAAAAAATGTTAAGGTGTTTTAGTGTTCTAACGCCTTATTTGTATTTAATAGTTTTTAAATCAATAGGCCATTTGTTTTTCTTCAGGTATTATCAATGCTGTAATTATAAAGGTAAATTTATGTTGCTTCTCTTTCTTGCTAAGAATATCACTTATTAGTGGGAGAAGGGGGAGTGTCCTAAGAGTGAGGTGATATTGATTTTCTGAAGAAATGTTAAAGGTTTTCTTCTTTGTTGGTAATCCTTTATTGAAGTTGTGTGTGTGTGTGTGTGTGTTTAACTTTGTTGTACAATTCCTTCCTCTCTGAAATGGGTCAGACTCACACCTTCTCTACTCTCTAGTCATGAGCTTCTTGCAGGTTCATTAAAGTTGCTGATGTGCCACAAAATTTATACATGTCAGCATCAACATTTTAAAATTTGGCCTTGTGAACACCTTTGACTTTTGGCCTTCCATGACCTTTTGTTAATTCCTGGTGACATCAATTTGTAACTGTTATAGAATGAAAATATTAAAATACCAATTGCAATTAGAGTTACCTGTACTCTCCAAAGTATTTGTTTTAACTTACCCACTGTCAGAGTGAGATATGGAACCTGAGGAATAAAGTTACGTCATTCTCTTAATAACTGTGAATTTATATTTTTCCAGGAAACCCATAAAATTTAATAACAGAAAAATATTTACAACATCATTAAATACAAAAACAGCATACCAAACTCAAAGCGATCTCAAATTTACATGTGTCTTTTATTTTATGTTGTATTGTGTATTTTCTCCACACAAGAAATGGCTGGAAAATGCATTGTGATTTTTAATCATTGTCTCTGGGTAGTAAGATTATTGGTATTTTCATTTTCTTATAATCTTTTTCTAGCAATAAGCCCGTTAAAAATTTCATAATAGGAAAATTCAGAAGAAAAAATGTAACCAAACCCAACAAACATGAAATTGAAACCATGTTCATTCTCAGAAGTCATATGTAAACATTTAGTGAGCATTTATTGCATCCAGGTAATGGGCTTATTACTGCTGCTGATGAAGGAGTAGTATGCAATACAAGTGAAACCATCACCCGTATTTTTTGTTTCAAAGAACTTAGGAGATTTAGTTACATGAAAAAGAGGAAATAGAGAATGAAAGATTATCAGTTTTCACTGGAAAGAGGAACCAATATTTATTGAACAAAATGCCATTACTACCTTTCAAAATCTTCACAAGACTTGAGTGTGGGTCGAGTTAAGCTTGTTTTACAGATGAGGAAACTAAGTCAAGTCACCTGTCCAAGGTCCATGGCAAACAAGTGGGGGCATTGTTTGAATTTCATTCCTTTAAAGTCTGTCTAGAATTTAAGAGGAAGGTGTTGGGAGTAAAGATAAAACACAGAAGTTAGGAGAAATGTTGTAAATGAGATTAGAGAAAAGAAGTCTGGCCAGGACAGAAGAGCTGAGTGAGACCCATAGCTCACAGGCGCCATTCCAAGCAGCAGGGATGGACTTGGGAGAAGAATCAGTGGACATTTTTTAACCAAAGGAAGAATATAATGGAGACGGCAAAGATGATTTTGGCAGTTCTTTACAATGTTTAAATGTTTAGGAGGGTCATCAAGTCCTCTTAAATTTATGTCCAGAATTTCTTTTACAGTCTCCCTTTAATATTGTTCCTATAAGGACTTAGCCCTCTCTCTGACCTTCTTACTCTCCAAACTCTGGTTCTTCCCCTCTTCTTCCCTCCTCAAAACCCATTCTATTTCTGTATCAGTGACTTTAAAATTACTTTTACCATGAACCACAGTGGGGGTGGGGGGGGGGAGAGACCTTTTTCTGTTGACTCAGGATACACGCCCATGCATAGGCACACACAGGAACAAGAGGACTGAGAATTTTCATCAAACATTCCTTGCCCTTCTTACTTGCATTGCACTCTGTGTCTTTTCTTTCCACTGTGCTCTGTTTTATTACTAACAAAAAACAGTGGTCAAGACCGGCTAAATTGATTTTGTTATCTGCTAATGGATTAAATGGCATATTTATGCATGTACGTATTGTTCCACAGCCCACAAAGCATTTATACGCATGTTAACTCATTTTACTCCTACAGCCTCTTGTGAAGTAGATGGACGTGTTTCTGCCTCTTTGCAGATATTGATTTTGAGGTTCAGAAGGCAAGGCCTAGCTGAGAAACGTTTGAGAGAGGGGTTTTACTATGTGGATTAGAGTTGGGCAAGGAAGAGAAGGTCAGTCCCATGAAATCAACTACATTTGAACCAAGTTTATTTAGTGCATCTTTACTGAGCACCTCCCCTGTGCCAGGTACTATGCTGGAACCTATAGAAAAAAAAGTGAATAAGATACATCTCTGTCTTCTAGGAACTCAGAGCCTGTGGAAGGGGCCTTCATCAGGGACAACCAGAGGAACTGGTTTATCATTGAATTTTAATAATATAGCTAAATAATATGAATATAATATATAATATTATATTTAGTGCCAGTCTCAGCACAGCGGTGTCTAAGTGATAAAGGGATAAGTAGGACAATTAGACATAGAGGCCAGGGAAGGGTAGAACAGCAGGGTCCTCACTGCACAGCTGGAGAGATGTGCTTGTGGTTGGAAGGAATGTAGGGAAGAATCAAGCTCCCACATTGGCAGGTTTATTGAAAGAGAAGAGTATAGGAGGTGGATGGAGCTGGGGGCAAAAAGTGCAGATAAGTGCTGTGGAAAGATTTGCTGACAGAGGCAGGAAAATGGGAAAGAAGCTGGACACTCACCACTGAAACACGATTTCCACAGTTTCAGAAAGGCAAAAAAAAAAAAAAAAAAGACATTTTGATTCATTAAAGCATGCACTTACCTGAACTCTCTTAACTTTCAGCTTTTATTTCTAGAATAAGAATCTTTTCTTTTTATTTTTAGTTGTAGATGGACACAATACCTTTATTCATTTATCTTTATGTGGTGCTAAGGATCGAACCCAGGGCCTCACACATGCTAGGCAAATGCTCCACCACTGAGCCACAACCCTAGCCCATGGAATGAGAATCTTATTCCCTCTCTCAACTCTTGACCACATATACCTCTGCTTTGATTTTAGGATCATTATGATTGGGGACTTCGTGCTATTAAATCTGTCTTGGTTGTAGCTGGCTCCCTGAAACGAGGAGATAAAAATAGACCTGAAGATCAGGTACAGCAAGTACTAATATGATTTTCTTGAGTGAGTAACTGAATGTCTTCATAGAAATGAAAGTCTGTACCTGGGTGGTGAGGCAGGCATAGCCGACTTTAAAATTAAAAAAAACTTTTTTTAAAAAACCTAACATCTATTCTTAATGCAGTGTATTTTAAGGACTGGCATTTCTTATAAGAGGTCACAAGTGTTCTTGAATGTGGAGATACGATTCTAGGAAAGAAAATGTGATTTTATAAGTACTTTTGAAATATCAGCCACAAAAAGTATTTTGACAGTTATAATCAAGTGATTCAGTAATCTCTGTTTGATTTCCTTTGAGGAAACTAAGGAAACCTGATTAATTGAGTTGGGATATTAATTCTGAAAAGTCAGTGAAGTTACAACCTAATGGGAGAAATTGCATCCATTGCATGGGATGTTAAATGGGTAGGAAGCAGGAACGATGGTTGCCTAGCTCCAATGCAGGGGGGTTGTTCAAAGCCACACTGAAAATGTTCTTTCCATGAAGTACTGAGTGTAGTGGGTGTCCATGTCTGTGTGTCCATGAAGCATGGCTTTAGAAGTAGACAAAATCTAGATCCAATCTGTGAGTTTCTTTTTATATTAAGGTGTATTTATTATATGCCTTTTTATTTGCTAGTATTTCTCTTGGTCACAGTTTAGGTTTAGTCCACATTTTCTTTGTTCTTTTTGTTCTCCTGCTATGTGGTTATTGTTGATAGAATGCTCATCACAAAGATATCCTGATGTTTGAGTGACTGCTTTTAAAATCTAAAACTTTTTCGGTTTTCAGCCAATAGAGAACTAAACGCTAAACTAAAAATGTTTGAGATTATCATTCTGATATCTCAGAGTACTTGGAACAAATTAATCTGACAGGTTTAATTTACAGTCTGGAATTTGGGGATGAAGGAGGGCAGGCGCTTTGCTTGCTGAAGGCAGAACAGAGTGTTGGCAGGGAAGGAACAGGGCTCGTTGCTGGATTGTCCTGAAGCTTATGCCTACTATCAGTTGAACCTTCTCATATTCTGTTATGTTGACTTAAAAGCACTTTACCTTCTCATAGATAGGATGCCCTCTATATAGAACAGTATCAACACCTCATGTTTCAGATGCCAGGGTTTTAAGGAGCATCTTAACTTATTAGGTGTTTGTTAGACATTGTAAGTGGGCAGTGGCAGGTGATGGAACTCGGGGGGACTCTACCCCTGAGCTACATCTCCAGCCCATTTTTGTTTTTTACTTTGAGATAGGGTATAACTAAGTTGCTGAGCCTAGCCTCCGATTTGCAATCCTCCTGCATCAGCCTCCTGAGTTGCTGGGATTACAGGCATGCCCAGCTGTATTGGCTCTTTTAAAAATTAATTTTAATTGGTAAATAAAAGCATAAAAATTTTACCTATTAGTGGGGTGACCTTTGATGTTTCAATACATGTATGCATTGTGTAATGTTTAAATCAGGTTGAACATATCTATCTCCTCAAATAGTTACTGTTTCTTCCTGGTAAACCCTTTCTGCTGCCTGTTGAATTGTACTACATTGGCTTTCTGTTTTCCTACCTAGGTACTTATGCGAGCACTGAGGGACTTCAATATGCCTAAAGTAGTGACCGATGATGTCCCGGTGTTTCTGGGCCTGATCGGGGACCTTTTTCCAGCCCTGGAGGTGCCCCGGAGAAGAAAGCCACACTTTGAGCAGATGGTCAGGCAGTCCACCCTGGAGCTTCGCCTGCAGCCAGAGGAGAGCTTCATCCTCAAAGTAAAAGGAGCATTTTGCTCTTTGTGGGAGTCGTCAGGATTCGCAGTGCAAATCACTGCTTCAGTGATGCTTATCCAGAACATTAACTTATATTACCCTGGCCTCAATATGGTCTTAATAAATATTCCCAAGCATTTTAATATGACAATCTTAACTAAAGTAAATCTAAGTAAATATTTTAGTAGTTCCATTCAGAAAGAAGGTATAAACGCAGAGATGATGAAGTTGTGGTTCAAAATGTATGTAAGCATACTTTCCATTTATAAAACATCTTAGTGACATGCACCAAAAATTTATTTTATTCCCTCTCTCCTCCATTTTAGGGAACATTGGCAGTAAAATCATTGGTGCTTGCTTTTAATGGGGGAGGAATGTCAACAAGCACAAAAATAACCTAGGAAGTTATATCTGGCTTACCAAAGTCTTGTGTGTGGGCATGATCAACTTGGGCTTAGTGATTACCTGGACATTATCATACATATATAATATGTATAATAAACATGATATCCATTTTAGATATTTTATGGGATATAAATCATTACTCAGTATGCAATGATTGGCTGTAGACTGTTTTTGTTCAAAGCTTTATGAAGAGTAGTACCATGTAATCAATTAAGAAATGGTTTAATTTATTTACTCCTATATTCTCCATGGGAGATCCAGAAGAAATGATACTTTGGACTTGTGATCTATTTTAATTTTCTTTGAACATGATGTCATCAGTGGAGGCCGGCTTGTGTTGTAAGGGGAAAAAAAATTGGGCAATAACAGGGTAGATTGTCTTTTTGTCACCGACTCATGAAAGGAAACCAGTGACCGTCTGTTTGGCCTGCAGGTAATCCAGCTTGAGGAACTGTTGACCTTGCGGCATTCTGTCTTTGTGGTTGGAAACGCAGGCACAGGAAAGAGTAAGGTACAGTAAATGGCCCGAGAACTTGCAGCCTGAGAAGACACTTTCAAAAAAAAAAATTTTGTTGCTGTTCAATCGATTGAAACCATCTTCCCTTATATCAGGAAAGGGGATAAATAGAGTATTTCATTCACCTAGGAAAAGCAGTCTGAGATGGAAGGTGGGACTTTCCAGGTGAGAGGACTGCTACCCTCCACGCACCTTTAATTATGCACTCACACCTAGATTCTTTTATCAAAGGAACACATACTTTTTTTTTATTCCTATCATGTGCTGGGCTAGGTATACTACATGTTATTTTCTCTACATGGTGTTGATATGCTATAGGCATTGTTAGCCTCCATTTTTAGTTCACTGCTTGATTTTGTTTGGCCTTTCTGACAATCCTGGCAGCATACTTATTTTCTTGGTTGGCAGACAGTATGGGCAGAACCACATGCATTTTAATTCAGGATGCCTGGGTATAAACATATTTGGTAGCCAACAACTAAAAATAATCAGAATGGGCATTGGAGTTTTAGAGCATGGGTGTATATAGAACTTGCAAGTCCTTCAACCTGAATGCAAAGTGGAACAATTGCAAAGGGAGGCTCTGTATGGAGATTTTTCTAGTGATAAATGTAATAATTCAAATATCAAAGTAGATAACTGATAGGCCTATCATTATTTTGTTAGAGTAAGTTTCAGATGTAGGCCATGGTTCATGGAAGGATAAAATTAAATTCTATAATTTCCAGTAGATTAATGGTTTCTAAAAATATAAGCTTACTATTCCTAAGGCATTTAATTTCTTTCATCTAGTCTTTACCTATTCAGTTCAACATGTACTTAAGCTGATAAAACCAGATCACTGAAGTTTGGGGCCATGCTATTTAGTAATTTACCATTCTAAGGTCCTGGGCAATTGTTTATCAGTCTTTCAAAACCCCTAGGAGTAGGTCATGATGGTAAGTATTTAAAAAAAAGCTATGGATTTTTGGAGAAAGCAAAAGGGATAGCTGGGGCAAATGTTTGGGTTAAGGTGACCTTTAATTAAGCAGACACATTCTAAGCATCTATTCTATAAGTTTATATCCTTAAGCTTCTTTTTCTCATTGTCTAGTGCAGGATTTTTCATCATTAGCCCTAGTAACATCCTAGACTGGATAAGTCTTCATTGTAGGAGGCTGTACAGGGCACTGTGAGGTGTTTAGCTGCATCTTGGCCCTCTAATCACTAAAAGCCCAGTAGCTTAATTCATCTTCCCCCAAGTCAAGACAACTTCCTCTAAAGGATCACTGCTCTGGGTCACTGAGTCATTCAAGTATGTCCAGACCAGCATCATGGGCATCACCTGGGCCCTTGCTGGACATGCAAATTACCACCTTATATATACCTATCCAATTAGAAACTCTGGGCCCAACAATCTGTTTTAATATCCTCTGGGAAGTCATGGTATGGGCTAAATTTGAGGAATAACTGATCTAAATAATTCTGGCAGGATGATTTTATAAACATGAACATGAATACTTACTTACATAGAGTCCTTCATTTTGCACCATGGGTAATAATCTCAAATGATAGTGACTTTCTCTAGTCTAAATGATAAAGAATCAGGTGAACTGACTGTCTCCCTACAGGTTTGTGGGATTAAACTTGTCAAGATGGAAATGCACCATGTGTCCATTTTTCCACCATTCTCAATCTTTGTACACAGGATATCTGGTAACATATAGTAAATAAGGAAAACCCTTTGGAAATCTTTTCCGTTAGTATTCATTTTCTTGGCTCCTCTTTCTTCCCCTCAGATTTTGAGAACACTGAACCGAACATATGTCAACATGAAACAGAAACCCGTTTGGAATGACTTAAACCCTAAAGCTGTGACAACAGATGAACTCTTTGGTTTCATACATCATGCTACCCGAGAATGGAAAGATGGCAAGTAGTATTTTCCCTTTTGAAGTGCTGAAATTTTTTTTTCTACCCAGAAAGCCATTTTTCAGAACAAGCCAATTTTAGTCATAGTTACAGATTTACTGTTTGTGTGTTGGCATTATTGGAAATATTGTAGAGCCCAACAGCTTTGTAACGTATAAATTAAAGCCAGATTTGAACGAGTAAATTATTTGCATTCAGCAGATTTGTACCAAGAGCTGGGTGTTTTATATTACATCATTGATGTAAGAGCTCCTTATAAACTAGGAGAGAAGCCAACACAAATGCTTCAGGAAACAAAGTGCCTGATAGAAGATGCCAACTAAGGATCAGACAGGTGTTATTTTAGCTGCCAGAGACAGGAGTCGAAGGTGCATGTTTCCTGCCCTCAAATCCAGAATCAGAAATGGTCTGAAATCTGAAACCTTTTGAGCATGTTTCTGCTTCAGATTTTTGAATTAAGGTTGCCTAATTGGTCAAGTCTGTGCAAATATCCCCAAATCCAGGAAAATCTGAAATCTGAACTACTTTTGGTCCTGAGCATTTTGGATCAGGGGTGCTGCCTATATCTGCAAACAAGCAGATGCTCTGGTTAAAATCTCATGTCTTCCCATTTCGGGAAGCACACTAACCTTGGTGTTGTCCTCGAGGTCCTCTCACTCTGACACCTACATTTAAGCTCACAACAGATCCCCTGGGCATTACCTTAAAATATAGATATTTATAGAATTCCAGTCCTTCTCACCTTCTCCATGATGTCACATAGTCAAGGCTCTACAGTCTCCCTCAGCACATCTTCCCTACGGATGTCAGAGGGTCACTCCAAGTTGTTACTTGTTGGCTACAGTTTCCAGTGGGTGCCCATCACCCTTAGAATCCAATCTTTTCCCACAGCCTGGTGATTGGGTATCCCCCGCCATCTCTGACTTTATTTCCTGCACATTGCATGTCACTTACTGTAATCATCAGTCCTAGCCTCTTGGCTGTTCCATGCATCTTCCCGTCACAGCCTTGGTACTTGATGCTCCTGCCATCCCCAGTGCTCTTTCTCTGAATGTCTGCATAGCTCGCTCCCTTAGATTATTTCAGTGTCTCACTGAATATCACATCAGAGAAAACTTTCCTGATGACCTAATGTAAAGCAGGACACACAGTCATTCTTCATCTTCCTATCTTGTATATGCTCCTTTCTTCATCTCTAGGACCATTTTTACTTTTAGCCTAGCTGCTGCTGCTGCTTGGCTTTTTTTTTTTTTTAATAATACTGGGAATTGAACAACCCAGGGGCACTCTACCACTGAGCTACATTTAGAGATAGGGTCTTGCTAAGTTGCTCAGGCTGGCCTTATACTTGCCATCCTCCTGCCTCAGTACTCCACCACCCCCAAGTACCTGGGATTACAGGCATACACCACTGTGCCAGACCTAGTTTCTTTTTATAAAAGATGATGCTAGGGAGAAAACCATGTTCTGTTTTTTTTTTTTTTTTGGAAAATCTGTGGAAGCTGTTCAAATCAGGGACTATTAGAAAAGTTTGCTGGGTTCTGTATAAATCCTGGTGGCAGGTTCTACTAGATGCTGTCACTTACTTTTACATAAAATACTTCCCAGAGGACACACATCACACGCATGCACTAGCACAGGATTGTTCATCCTGGTATTATTGAGTTTGAAAAGTCAGCAACTATTAAACATGTTGGGCGACACACAACAGATATGTCATAATGGCAAAGAGGACCATGGGTTTAAAATGTTTTTTTTATCTGTACATTCTTGTGAAGTAATGAAAACTTAATAAAATGTCAATGACCAAATATGTCAAAGAGGTACTTCTGAGTGCTTTTTTAGCTTTAGAATTATGCCCTTTATATATTGTTTCAAAAGTAGAGAAAGATGTTATAAACTAATATGTAATGTAAAACAGAGACTGAAATATGTGCATGGGAAAGGGTGGTCTTCATTTGGTCCAAGTTTTGCGTATTATGAATGGTTCCTTCTCTAAATCCCCACAACTGTCCTTGAAGGAAAGTAATGTTATCCATGTTTGACATACGGCAAAGCTCAGTCATAGAAGGTAAGGACTCCTCCCCAGGAGGTGAAAGTTGCTCTTTAGTAAATGGTAGAATTGGATCTGAAGTCCACATGTAGCACAAAGTATGTTATATATTGCCCACAAGAAAAAAAGCAGGAAAATTGTTTTTATACAGCTAATACAAATGTTTCCTGGAGAAATAATACAAATTTATTTTAGAAATATGCAGCACTCAACTCCATTTTCTATTAGCAGTGTTTACCCTTACTTTATAGGTCTCTTCTCATTCATTCTGCGAGAACAAGCAAATCTCATGCATGATGATCCAAAGTGGATAGTCCTGGATGGAGATATTGACCCCACGTGGATTGAATCACTAAATACGGTCATGGATGATAACAAAGTGAGTATACTGCAGTGTCAGTCTTTAAATAACAAACACAGCTCTTGAGAGTATAGAGAGTTCCAGTCACTTGTCAATGTTAATTCCATCTTGTACTTGTTAATCCAGTGCTCTCCTCATGTAATCACTATTTTGATAAATGACATTTTCCTCATATTTCTCTTAATTTCACAAAAATTTAAAGTAACACATTCTCCTTATTACTACAAATTTAACTTCCTTTAAAGTTAGATATATATGTAAGATTTAGTTTCACATTTCACCAGTTTCTAAGAGCTAGGCATACATTATTATATCTTACATGATCTTTGGTTAAATATAGAGTACTTAAGAGTATAAAAGAATGAGTTTGTGCTATATGATAATAGGTGAAGTTAGCTATTGAAATTAGCTAGTTCCTTTTACTTACAGACTGTATTTAAATGTTCCCTAAGCATATTGCCAAGGTTAATCGGTATCCCAGCAAAAGCCAAACATGATGGAACTGGCCTGTGAAATAGCAATTAAGCAATGTGAACTCTATTCTTGGGGACAGGATGGAGAAATCAGTAGCCATCATTTCTCCAGAATAGAATTAGTAACCACCTTACGTTAATAGTGGTTACTGCTTTCTGAACCAATACCTTGTTCATCAGAACACACAGGTCTGAGGTCATCATTCCTGCATGAGTTTCTATAGGACAATGAATAACTGTGGGGTTTCAGATTCTGGAGAATATTTATTTTTTGTGGTCTTCAGGCTGACCATGTCAACTTACATTTTTCCTGGTAATAATTACTGCAGTTATTTAAAGGTTGGCCTTTACAAGTCCATTTAGGCAATCTTGTTCCTTGAGGGTCAGTCAGACCACCTCAGAGATGAACTTAGGTCTTGATTCTGATGTGCTTCTAACTGGGGATGCTAAGCTTGCAGCCCTTGGCTCTTCCCGTTGGTTGTGGAAGCTAATTTGGCAGCCATTTCTCTTGCTCCCGATGACAGTTTGCCAGTGTTGACTGCTGTGCTGCTCATTCCAGGTGCTGACCCTAGCCAGCAATGAGCGGGTGGCCCTCACTCCCTCCATGAGGCTTCTGTTTGAGATACATCACTTGAGGACAGCAACCCCAGCAACTGTCTCTAGAGCTGGTATTCTATATGTGAACCCACAAGATTTGGGCTGGAATCCGTGAGTCTTTCTTTAATTTCTTTTTTGTTATGGCAAAATATATATATACTTACCATAAAATTTACCGTTGTTAAGTATACAGTTAGATCAGGGTTGTTAAGTACATTGACCTTGTTGTGTAACCATCACCACCATCCATCCACAGGATATTTTTCAGCTTCCCAAACTGAAACTCTGTAACCATTAAGCAACAACTCACATTCCTCCCTCTCCTTAGCTCCAGGCAGCCTTCATTCTTTGTCTCTGAATTTGATTATTGCAGGTATCTCATGTAAATGGAATCATATACCATTTGTCCTCTTGTGGTGGGTTTATTTCACCAATGTAATTTCCAATCCTTTTAAGGACATACCCAGAAGTAGAATTGCTGGATCATATGTGAATTCTGTTTTTAATTTTTTTCAGAACCTTTCATACTGTTTTCCACAGGGGCTGCACCATTCCACGTTCCTTCCCACAATGCACAAGAAAACTGTATCCAATTTCTCTTCATTCTCACCAATACTAATGCTTTTTTTTTTTTCTTCATCTTTCCTTTTAGTAGCCATGCTAATTGGTGGGAGGTGGTATCTTATTATCATTTTGATTTGCATTTCTCTAATGATTAGTGATATAGAGCATGTTTCCATGTGCTTACATTTGCATATCTACTTTGGAGAATGTCAATACAAGTTCCATTTTCATTTTTTAAATAAATCTTAGGTTTCAAAAGCTAAATATTATGATTTGGGGGACGATATTAACAATTAAATTTAAGGCTCACTAGATGACTTTAAATTAGCCCCTGGATGTCTTTATCAGTTTTACTTGAACATTGCCTTGTCCACACACCTTGGATGATACAAACTCAGTAAATATTTGTTGGATTAATGAATAAATAACAGCTTATGTGATGCACTTAAATATAAGTAAATTAATGGGCATATATGTGTTTGTGCACATAATATGCATATATGAGCAGTGGAAATGCTTTGATTAAGGCCAAGTTTTTGTGCCCACTTGCTTACTTTTCAAATACTTACACTTTCCAGTTAGTGCTGGTTGTCACTTGTCACCTGCAGCAGTTCTACTCTGCATTGTAGGAACCACTGAATTCTGCAGGTAACCATGTGCTACCTGGCACATGTACTGTGTCAGATATCTTCTGTGTTCCTTTACAGACATACTCTCCCTTCTCTTCTGCTTGCTCTGTGCCCTGGGAAGCTGTCCCACATGAACTACATCACTGGGCTTCTTGCCCTCTGGCTTCTGGTTTATTTGGCCAATGAGGAGCCCTGGCAGGAAATGAGAGGAAGAGAGGAGGGTGAGGTCAGGCTATTTATTTCCTGGGCTCCCTCCCTGCAGGGTCACATTAGGATACTGTGTCCCTTAACTGCAGGTCACGGCTGCTCTTGAATTTCTCCATGAGGTGCCTTCACTCCAGGTTCTGGTAGACCTCCATTCTCATGACCCAGCAGGCACAGGTGCAGTACCCATTCCTTGTTATCACCCTGTGGTAGTCAGTTTTATGTCACTGTAACAAATTTCAGCTTATGAAAGAGAAGGTGTGGAGCCAGGCGTGGTGGCACATGCCTGTAATCCCAGAGGCTGAGGCAGGAGGATAGCGAGTTCCAAGCCAGCCTCAGCAACAGCAAGGCACTAAGCAACTCAGTGAGACCCAATCTCTAAACAAAATATAAAATAGGGCTGGGGATGTGGCTCAGTGGTTGAGTGCCCCTGAGTTCAATCCCTGGTAAGCATCCTCCTCAAAAATAAAAAACAGAAAAGAGAAGGTTTGTTTGACTCATGGTTGCAGAGGTTCCAGTCCTTGATCCCTCGGCCCCTGAGCTTTTCGCCCTGTGGTGAGCAGTGCATCAGGCAACATGTGGTGGAGCAGAACTGCTCACCTCATGGCCAGGATGCCAAAGAAAGAAAGAGACCCCAGTCTTCTTTAAGGGCATGCCCCCAATGCCCTAAAACTTCCCACTGGACCCCCACTAAGTCTTAAATTCCCACCTCCTCCCAGTCACACCACAGGCTGGGAAGCGAGTCTTTAACACAAGGGCCCTTGGGGGACATTCCAGATCCACACTGCAACACACCCAGGACCTAGCATTCTCCCTTCCAGTTTCTCTACTCCAGCGCCTTCCTGGATCCTCCCCTGTCGTCCTCACTTGAGGATGACCTCTGCTTCCTGCCAGATGCCACCTAACATGCTCCTCCTTGTACTGATTTGCTCACGAAAGTCTTCTCTTTTAATTTGATAGCAAAGTAGAACCATGTCCAGGCTCTTCTGTTTTAACAGAGTTACCTGAATGTGGCTGGGGCAGGAGTGGGTTTTAGATGTCTAAAAGCACCTCTTGGAGTTGCTTCTGTGCTGGCTGAAGGAGTCACTCCAGTGTCCCTTGACTCTCCCACACAGAGACCTTGGGCTGTCTGTGCTGGTGGTAGCTTTCACTTCCTTCAGGGGAGTCCCCCACCCCTACTGGGGTGGTCTGATTTCCACAGTGACCTTCACAAAGCCTAGGTCTTCCAATCACATTGTGTGGAGTTTTGTGCTGACAAAAGCTTGGTCTAAATCCCATTTAAAAAAAGGACTTTTATCCAGTACATCAAAGTCCCAGGTTGCTGATAGAGGTGTCCAATGTGTATTCTTAGAGGTAAAGAGCTCCCTCTTCACCATTGAACTTCACTTTTTAGAGTTTTTTGTCTTATCTCAAATGAATGGGTAGGTTTTAATTTTCATGTGTGTGACTAAGAGTCTAGCCTAGTTACTTTCGAAAACAATGGGAATCTTCTCTAAAGGATATTTTTACCTCCCATTGCCAGAACATTTCAGTAAGCCCCCAGAAAATGGCTATTTCAGGGTTAGGGTATTTTTTCACTCCATAATTATTGGATAGTTTAGTACCTTATTTTAATGTAATAATGTGATAACTTTGCATGTATTAATTCATTTAGTATCCACTTAACTTCTGAGATCAATTAAATTTATTAACCCAGCTTTCCAAACTAATATCTAGGGTCTCACTTTTCCCAAATTTTTTGATTCCAAGTATTCAAAACTATAGAAAAATTGAAAAGATGCAAGGTACAACCACAGACCTTATTCCTACAGTCACCACTGTTACCATTTTACATTTGCTTACTCTGTGGCTAATATCCCCTGCCCTCTCCCTCTCTGTCTCCCCTCCCTCCCCCTCCCTCTCTCATAGGCATAGAAATATGTTTTACTAATATTTGCAGAAATATCTGAAAGTAAGTTGGAGATATTAAGATACTTCAACATTTATCTCCTAAAAGCCAAGATAGCCTTCTACATGAACACAATATAATTAACACACCTAAGAAATTTATTCTTAATGTTACCTAATAATCATTTTCAAATGTTGCCAAATATCCCAGTAATTTCCTCTGTCCCCTTTCCTTTTTTTAAATCTAGCATTCGAAGATGATGCATTGTCTCCATTGTCCCCTTGAACCCAGAACACTCCCCCATCTTATTCTTTCATGGCATTTACAGTTTTGGAAAGAACAAGTCAAGTGTCTTAAAGATGTCCCACTAGTGGTTGTAAATGGTGATTTCCTAGCTCAGTCATTCTATTTACATGTATTATGTGACAGTTTGTTGTGAAGAAATTTCTTGGACCTGATTCTCTTCTGTCTTTACTTTCTTCCTATTATTTTCTGTCTGATTTCTTTCTTTTAATTCAGTGGATTATGACCCACTACCAAGATTCTTTTGTATTCTCAATTGTCATAAATTTTGCCAAGAGGATAATCAAGCTAGTCTCATCTGTGTTCTTTTTTTTTTTTTTCCACTTTTCCTAAGTCTTCAGATATTTTGATGCCTCTGTTTCATCTCAGACTTTCCTCACTTGAGACCCAAATCAACCATTCCTCCAAGGAACTAGAAGGAATGACTTTTAGTAAAAATGGTATTTAGAATCCAAGATCAGTTCATTGCTACCAGTGTGTCATTGTGTCTAGGCTCTTTGAGGAAAAAAAAAAGTAGGATATATATTTTCCAAGCTTATATTAGAAAGAACTATGGGCAGAAGGACTTATGAAATACTATGTTCCTAATATCCATGTAGGGTACCATTTAGGGAATAAAGATTGTGCCAATATCCCTTAAATTTATTAGAACATTTTTGTTAAAGTGCATACCTGTGATCTCAGTGACTTGGGGGGCTGAGGGAGGAGTATCAGAAGTTCATGGTCAGTCTTACCAACTTAGCAAAGCCCTAAATAATTTAGGAAGACTGTATCTCAAAATAAAAATATAAAAAAAGGGCTAGGGATGTGACTCAGTATTTAAGCACCCTTACATTCAATCCCTAGTATCAAAAACAAACCAAAAAAAATGTGTTTAATTAAAATTCAGTGAGCTCCTTCAAATTAATTTCTGTCATACTTTACAGATATGGACCATATCAGATTAAACAACATCCTTAAAATCACATCAGCTGCAGAAATATAATAGTATTTTAAGTCTCAATTCTAAATAAGTTTACTGGAAGTTTACTCAACAGTACATGTGTCTGTTAGGACCTTAAGAAATGGAGACAGAAGATAATTAAAAGGCAATTTCTGAAGATATAATCAATGATGGATTTTTTTTTTCTAATAGAAAGGCATGCAAATATACAGAAAGGGAAAACAAGCAATAAATTTTAAAATTCAATTGTAATTATATAGTATATAGTATATTAACAGTAGGGATTAAATCCAGGACCTTGTACTTACTAGGCAAATGCCCTACCATGAGCTACATCCTCAGCTCACCCCTCCCCCCATTTTTTGAGTCAAGGTTTCACTAAATAGCCAAGGGTGGCATGAACTTGTGATCTTTCTGCCTCAGTCTCCTGAGTAGCAGAGATCATAGGCACCCACTACTGTGCCCAGCTATAAATTATTGAAATTAAAATTATTTGAAAGTGAGTATCACACATTGCAAATGGGATTTACTAAACTATGTATTCCTTAGTTTGTGCATAACAAAAGGAAAAGGTGGAGCTATATCTGGAATTAGTTTGTTCCAAAAGAGGTTATTAATAACTTTTGAGAGCCACAACTTCAGATCATTACTTTCTTCTATTACTTCAGCTTAAAATGTCCTTTCAGCTTTGTGTGACTAATTCTCTCCCTTGCATCAGATGACATCATTGTTTTCTACACCTGCAATTGCATTCTCTTGTCTTTGAAGAATATATATACTTGTTAGTACACAGATTCAGAAATAAAGGGCATACACTGTGAATCAGCATGCCCTGCTGACTTGGGCCACTCTTCCAGGCCACCGTGAAAGGCAAACCTGAAGCTTGCCATGCAGAGCAGACTCTTTTTTTTTTTTTTTTTTGGTACCAGGAATTGAATTCAGGGGCACTAAATTACTGAGCCACATTCCCAGCCCTCAGAGCAGACTCTTAGTCTGATGACTTTGCTAACCTGATTGACAAGATCCAGTTCCAGACCGTTGAGTAATCATTTTAAAAGTTTTTTGAGACCTGGAGATTCTAGTAGCTGATTTCCAAACCTCAGGGATTTAGACTTCATGTAATAAAACTAGAGCTTTTCTGGAGGAGGGAAAAACAATACAGCTGACAGTGTGGACCTCATTCATAAATCCTTCAAAGTCAAACACTCTGTTAGTGACCTAGAAATTGGCATTAAGATGATACATGAAGGGGCATCACTAGGCAGGGATTTCCTGAGGCCACGGCTCCAGTGTGGGCAATCTCTTAGGTATGCAAGGGATAAAAATGCAATTTTAGGATATCATTTTCAATTTTACATTCTATGATAGTGGTACATTTCAGCTGATCATGATCAAATCTATAGCATCTTTTATAAATTAAAAGGAATTTTTTTGTGAAATGGAAAGAATTGGAAACAAATACAGGTCTATGTCTTCAGTTTTGCCACTGCTGAAGATAATGGTCTTTCCTTATAAATTTTCTGTCCTTTAAATATCTACTTTTATTCCTAACTCTGAAAGTTTAGCAATAATCTCTCTCTGAAATTTTAAACTGTTTATACTTGTTGAGAATGTTGACATATTATGCACTGTGGCATATTTGACCCCTAAGAGAGGTCACTCATTGTCCTTCTTGTGGGGATCAGAATCTCTTCTTACTAGGTCTCCTGGTTTGGTAGAGCTTGCTTCCTTCATGCCACTTGTGGAGGCCATTTATACAAGATCATCATTTGCTTATGGGTCTGGTCAATTTCCTTTGGGACTTTGGATACTACCACTGTGGCTCAATGAATAGTAATTACCTATCCCTAAATGCAGAAACTTTGGGGCTGTTTTTGAGGCTACTACTCCTAGTTATTCTTGCAATGGCCTCTGCTCCCTCACACACTTGGAAGAGATTTGGGGGGAGACGGGACATATATTTTTTATACCAATCACAGCTGCCAATTCCTGTACCCTACCAGACACTACTTCACTCACAATGCACAGAGATGAAGAGGCAAGATCTGAACCCAGCTGCTAATTAGTAACCTTAACTGAGAATTGTTATATGTCAGGTAGTAATCTAAGTACTTTGTACATTTATATTTGTTCAGTTCTCAGAAGATAGTCTTTATTATTATTGTCTCAGCACAGTTAAAAAATGATGGCACTAGGATGACGATTCAGGCAGTCTGAATTTTAGAGTTTTGTCTCCCTGCACAGTCCTCTTCCCCTGCTCCCATGATAAACTGTGGATACCAAGATTCTATTCTGGCAGCTGATGAGCAATAAAAACCTGCTTTGCATTGTTCTGTGGTACCCACTCTCACTAGCATTGAGATAAACTTTATCAAATCACTCTCCTAAATCAAATCACTCTCCTAACCAGACTTCCATGAGAACAATTCCTCTTAGACCTGCAAAAGTTTTGACATCTGACATTTTGTAAGTCTAACCATGGTGTAAGATAGTTGACTATTTAATAAACCCTACCATGAAGTGTTGTGGAAAGCAAAGTGAGCTTTTTGTACAGTATTCAAAATGTGAAATCTGATTTGCTTAAAGCAAAGTGTAGCTACATTGGCCTGTGGCCACACTGTCCTCCCAGCTGCAGAGTGTATTTTTTAGCTCTGCTTCCTCCTGGATCAGGACTTCCTCAGTGATTATTTTTCATTTAGCAACTCTTAGTTCACCCCCAGAGACTACTCTGGATGGTACTAAGTCATGTTTGCTGTATTAATACATAGATTATTAATATGTTAGATGTATTTAATGTATCAAAATTAAAATTTTATAAGCTTAAGATTGATATACATACATATGTGAATAAATTTATAAAATCATGAGATCCTACTTCAGAGCCTGTGATTGGAAACACATTATTAGCTATTGGTTGTCAGAAATGTTGAGTCCAGGGGAAAAGGAGGACACTTGAAATTGTCCCTATGGAATTTTTACCTCTTTTGTAACTGATTTCTCATTATTAAATAATTGATGCCAAATTAATCAAGAAAAATGCCTGGCTATTGTCATAAATAAGGCCTCCTCCATGAAAACAGTTTGTCCCTGAGGGAATGACAGACTGCACTTCTTTCTAAATGCTGTATAATGGCCTCCTTTGCCCTCTGTTGTGTTTGGCTTCTAAGTGCTATTAGAAATGTCTTCTGCATTCTTTTCATTAAGTTAAAAATGGCCATTAAAGCAAGTTTTTAAAGGGCCATTTATAAATATTTCTGCTTTGAGAAACAGAATGACCCCACTAAAGGGATTCCTGAAGTATTGCAGCAAGCTGTGTTAAGGGGAGCTCTGCACGTGGTGAAATTCTGCTTTTCAAGCCTGGTGTTCAGTAAAAGCTTTTCTGTGTGTCTTTTCAGGTATGTGGCCAGTTGGATAGACAGAAGGCAGCATCAATCAGAAAAGGCCAATTTAACTATTCTTTTTGATAAATATGTTCCGGCATGCTTGGATAAGCTGAGAACAAGCTTTAAAACCATCACCTCAATTCCAGAGAATAGCCTGGTGCAGGTTTGTCCTCAGTTACACTATCTGACATCCAGAATCCTGATGGAGCTTGATCAAGACAGCGCATGTTTTTCCTTGCATAGGAAGGTGGAAAGATTTCTGGGATTGTTAGGATGCTCCTACTTCAGACCCAGGTTTCCCTGGAACTTTTTGCAAACCCCTATCACACGCTGTTGCACTGTGTTGTCATTTGGGTTTGTGGTCAGTTTCTCAAGATTGTGAACCAAAGGGCTGAAGCCATATTCATTTTCCTATGCCCAGAGATTTACATAGTTCCTAGCATGTAGCAGGTGCTGAATGTATTAATGGAGTCATCATATTCCTGGAACAGAATTAGAAGAACAAGCAGCTTTAGTTTTCTACTCCTATGTAACTTCCGCAGAGAAGGTTGTTTGGGATTGTTTGTTTTGTTTAGTGCTGTAGATTGAACCCAGGGGCTCTCTGCCTCTGAGATACATCTATAGCCCTTTATATTTTTTACTTTGAGACAGAGTCTTGCTAAGTTGCTAAGGTTGGCCTCAAACTTGTGATCCTTCTGCCTCAGTCTCCAGAGTTGCTGAAAATACAGGTGCACACCTCTGGGGCCAGCCTCAGTATATATTTTGGATAAAATGAATCTGTGCAATTAAAGATGTCCAACAGTGAGTAAGGGAGGGCATCCTAATTTTTTCTCACAGACTTCCCCTTCCCCAAAATATTTCTGATTACATGTCAATCTGCATGAAGATTTTGTAATATTCCTGGGATAATTTTCTGATCCTCCTTGTAAGTCAGCTGGTAAGAGTGAAGGGTATGTATGATTTGTTGTCATGGAAGCAAAAGGAAATAATTTACGGTGCACAGAAATGAAGATTGCTATCATAAACTCAGCGTGAAGAAAAGCTGTCCCCAGCCCTTGGAAATATCCAACTTCACAAAAGGGTCACAATTGAAACCTTTTTTTTTTTTTTTTTCCTTTCCTGCAGGAACAAAATTGGTTCTAACTACTTTGTTACCACTAAGTTACTGTTACCAAATTTTGTTTGAAGCTAAATTAGAAATAGTGGCAGGCATAATAAGAAGGGAAAGTTCAGGTTTTTGGATAATTCACACACCAATTAAGTAAACGATAGTATTCAACAGTAATTATCTGAGGTATAATTTATTTCTGAAAGCAGGTCTGAATTTATTCATAATGAATTAATTATGTGGTTAGCCTAATTAGACTTCCTCTGGTGTAATCCTTGCAGAACCATGATCGTGTTCTTTCTCAAGTTGACTTGTGTATTTGTGCGATTCTCTGGTGTGAACTTTTTCATTCAAGAGTAGTGTGAAAATAGGTCAGTAGGAATTAATGTGACTTTTGCTCTCACTTCTTCCTTTTGTAGTATACAGAAATAGCATTTACCCCTAGCTCCTTGTAAGCTGCTGTCTTATGGAGTAGTTTTCTCTAGTTAGTTATAAGAATTCGAGACCATAGGGTACAAGAGAGTGACTTAAAATGGCTGTCTTTAAGAAATTCCAGTATAGGACAGTTCTTTAAAAAAAAAAAATTGTTAAAGTATATTAACTCTTTGAGAATGAGGATTAACGTGTGATTTTGTTAATTGCTATGCAGAGCTCAAAGTGTTTTTCAAATTCTATGGGAGAAAATAGAATAATCATATGACTTATTAGAGTGTTCACCTAATAACATCACATTGAGACCATTTGGTCTGTTTAACTATTCCTTAAGACAATGTGATTTCTACTTGGAGCAAAACCCTGAGGTTTTTCTTGATAACAAATTGATGAGTTCTATTAAAAGATTGTTTCAAATTGGTAAACATGGACAATGTAAAACAGAAATCAAGCAAGAAGATTTAACAATATAACAGTTCTCAATTATTTAAAAAAAAAAAAAACATTTCCCCATCTTTCATGGCTAGAAAAGAAAAATTCAGCCAGGTATGATGACACATGCCTTTAATCCCAAAGACTTGGGAGGCTGAATCAAGAGGATCGCAAGTTCAAGACCAGCCTTAGCAACTTACTTAGGACCTGTCTCAACAACTTACTAAGGACCTATCTCAAAATAAAAGGGACTGCAGATGTGTCTCAATGGTTAAGCATGCCCAGGTTTGATCTCTGGTGCAAAACAAAACAAAACAAAACAAAAAAACAATGCTGAGCTTGCATTACTGTGTAGGTTTGTGATAGTGATCAAATTCTGTTGTTGCCTCCAAAAACTGGGACAAGAATTTCTTTCATTTTTAGGGTCTGTAACAGTGCTAATTAAAGAGAACCATTTTGTGTTTTAGGAAACTAGCCCTAAATTTGTCTAACTCTGGTTATATTTCATATGGTAAAGCTTTTTGCTGCAGTACTGAAGGGATTGCTCTGAACATGCTTCACCTGCAGAGTTTGAAGAACAAGTTCCTGAACAGCATTTCTTCCAAGGTTAAATGTACTCTGCTGTCCAAAAAATGCCACTGGCAAGACTGCCAGTCCAGCTTTCTAAATTTATGACACCAGGTGGAAAAAATGGCTGCCAAAGCCAGAGAAAAGTGGGTTTCCTAGGGTCCCCAGGAGGATAGGTTTAGCAATGCCTGCCTGTCTACTGGAATCTTAAAGATTCATCCCCAACTATATTACAGATCATCACTTACCTATGAGGAAAGATGTCTTCTATAAATATATATATATGGGCACCAGGATTGAACTCGGGGGCACTCGAGCACTGAGTCACATCCCCAGCCCTATTTTGTATTTTATTTAGAGACAGGGTCTCACTTAGTTGCTCAGCACCTTGCTTTTGCTGAGGCTGGCTTTGAACTTGTGATTCTCCTGATTTAGCCTCTGGAGCCGCTGGGATTACAGGTGTGCACCATCGTGCCTAGCTTCAATATAGTTTTAAGTGAGAAAGCAAATTACAGAATACCATGTTACTTATGAATCCCTATTTATAAAGAATGGAAATAGACAAATGTTCATTATTATTTTTCTCCTAGTTCATATATTTTCCTGGTTTATCCAGTGATTATTAATTTTAAATTTTTGTTTTTGAATAATTTCTTTTTACTTAGAGTATTAAATTGACTAAAAGTGATTTTAAAAATTGGAGGATTGACTTAGATGCCCAAGGCAATAATTTTTCTTTCTCCCAATGTTGAAAGCCACAGAGTTCTGAAAAATTATATAATCTCCTAAGGATAAAGTGGAGTTGTAATAAGAAGTCTTTTGAATCCATTAAAAAAAAAAACTCTTTGCCCCAAATGAATGGTTGTTTCTTTTTCTTTAGACCATTTGCACTCTTTTGGAGTGTTTGTTGACTCCTGAAAATGTACCTTTGGATAGCCCAAAAGAAGTTTATGAAGTCTATTTTGTCTTTGCTTGTATCTGGGCTTTTGGAGGCACCCTGCTTCGAGATCAGGTATGTTGAGAAATGGTTTATAGGCCCAGTTTTTCTTGCAGGGTTGGGGGTTGATATGTGGTTCCTATTGTTTTGCAATGCTGTGGTAACTCTTCTCTGCTTGCTTTGCCTTGCCTTCTCCTGAGTCTGTGCATTCTGGAGGCAATCCCAGGCAGGCAGGCAGTTGTCACCTCAGCTGACAGTGCAAGTCCATATCCTTCAGCCCAGCTCACCCCTCTGAGCTTGAGGCTGTGTGTCCACCTGCCTCCAGAGCATCACAGCTGCTTGCTGATCCACAGACCAGCCACACTCTGTGCCTGTCACCCCTTCCTCTAGCCTACACCCAAATCTTCCCCTTCTCGTCAATCTCTTTTCACCTTAGTGATATATTCCTTTGAGTTGCTCTAGTTAAAAATGTGGGAAAATCACCATTCATTTTTTCTACATCCCGTGATCTCAGGATCTTTCAGTTTCTCTTACAAAATAGCTGCTGAATCTGTCCCTTCACTATCATTTGTATAGCAAAAATGCAGGAGTCAGTCATCTTTAGATTGCCCCAAGTTCTCACAGTAGCTTACCTCAGGCTGCCATAACAAATACCTTAGTGTGGCCAAAACAACAAATTGATTTCTCACCATGCTGGAGGCTGGAATTCCAAGATCACGGTGCCAGCGTGATTGGGTTTTATTGAGGACTATCTTTCTGGCCTCTTCTCTGTGTCCTCATGTGACAGAGGCAGCAATTTCTGCTGGCTCTTCTTACAAGATACTCATCCCATCATGACCTCATCTAAATTTAATCATCTCCCAGAGGCTCCATCTCCTAATACCATTGTGTGGGCAGTTGGGGCTTCTGCATCTGAATTGGCAGGGTGGGGCAGCAGCAGTGGTGGTGGTGACTCAGTGCATGGCATAGAGTAACCTTCAGATAGGGCTCCCTGTTTCTAGTTGCTCCCACAGAGGATCTTTCCCAGGATAATCATCTCTGAATCATTGTCAACCTTGCACCAGTTTCTTTCATTGGTCTTTACTTCAGCTTCAAGTGAATCTATCCTGCCTGCACCCTTTTTTTTTTAAATTTTTTTTTTCTTGGCTTCTGAGTTCCAGTGGGAAACACTTAAAGTAAAATTTTGCATAAACACATACACTCCATAGACACAAATAGCCTAATTTACAAAAGTGAAAGAAACAGGCAGGTCTCATCTCCACTATCCACCTCCGTGTGGATTTCTCTCATGTCATCTTTATGTAAGTCTTCAAAGTATCCTCATTGTGCAGATCAAGGTCAGCTCAGGGGGTGAAGTACCTTGCTCAATGTACCACTAATGGGAAATGGTAGCAGCAGCATTTCCATCCAAGTTTGCTTTCCCCAATGGCCACATCTTCCAGGGTACCTCAGAACATATCATGGTCATTGTGCTTCCATGCATAACCCTGAATCTTCACATAAAAAACAGAGGGCACACAGTTTTCAGGCATCCCAAGTCTTTCCAAATGTGAACAGGGAAATTATATTGGAAGGCATCACACCAACAGTGACCCACATTTCTGTTGGTTTACTTGCTCTAGGTGCTAAAATAAAGGGCTGATGTAATCTCTGGGTCAGTTCTGCTTCTTGTCACTTAGTTACCATAACTTATAAATAAACTTGGTATTCATTTGGCTGTGTGGATCTTATAACAACCCTTGTCAGAAGTTAAATTCCCTTCTGTAATCTCCAAGTGCTTCCTAGCTTATAGTGGCCAATGCTACTTGTAGAAGGGTCATGGTACCTGCTTTCTCCTGAATTCATTGGCTTAGCCTCTGCTTCCATCCGTGCACCCCCATGTCTTCCCAGTAAACTCTGATCATGGAGTTCATAATTGTTTTCTTCCCCACTATAGAAAAATAAAGTGTTTTAGTTTATGAATGAATTGATAAAATGAATGAATGAATTGATAAAAATTTTTCACCGAAATAATTTTGATGATGAAATTGTTAGGTGAAGCAAATTTCTTCCTCCAGAAAAGGGTGCCAGGCAAGCGATAGTCCATGAATTAAGATCAAATTAGTTTGCTTTGGTGTAAGACCAATTTTTTTTAGGGTGATAAAATATCTCATGCTACCATCTGAAAATAATGTGAGTCTAAACTCATTAACTTGTCAATGGCAGAGGGTTGGAGAATGAGCTGGGCAGGTTTAGAAGGTGGTAGGAGAGGCCCTCCCTGCAAAGACTCTAAGAGTGGGCCATAGTTCCAGGACACAGAGTCATCAAAGCAAAAACAAATTTAAGAATTTTTTCTGGGAGTTGAGGTCTTAGATAAGATTGTTAAAGCAGTGGACTTAGATAATGCTTTTGGATTTTACCAAAATTCACTAGGTCAGTCCATCTTATGGACTAGGTTGCTCGGCCAGGTCACCCTCTGGATTTACAAGGGTTTTGACTGTTATTGGCACACAGATGCCATTTCCTTTCCTTTATTGTCTAAATCCTCATCTAGCAACAAAAATCTATTTTACCTATCATTGTATAAAAATAAGTATGTTTTAGTCAAGAAAACTGCCTGGAAGTTGGGAACTGGTCTCAGGATTTCAGCCAGACCTCTTACCCTGGGCCTTACCTTAAACAAGCCATGCCTTCCTCCATTTCTCTCTCCTTCTGCAGAGGTTCTCAGGTACAGAATTTCAAAGATCAACAAAGTTTCAATATTGTTTTGTTGGAATGACACAGGATTGCTAGCCATTTACTTTTTGTTTGTTTTAATTTATATATCCATTTACTTTTTAAGTAGAGGCATATATAAAATTCCTATTTAGTGGTACCATTGTTTTGTTTAAAAAAAAGTTTTAACAACAAAAGGACTAAGGAATCTATAAACTCAGAATAAAGGATAGTATTTTAATCAATCTTACCAATTTTTTAAAAGTACTCCTTTTTTCTTATTCTTCTCATTTTCCCATCAATTGGTGTGAACATGGGTATAAATCAATACCAGCACTTCATAACCACTGTCCTGTGGTAGCTGGCATAGTAATTTGCACAGTAACTCATTGAATAACTGAGGTCCACCTAACTATCTTGCTTTCTAAGTTAATAACTATTCCACTGTGTTTGTACCTCATGGATATGTGGCAATTACAGCTTTCTACCCCTGTGGCAGTAGCACTCATCATGACTAATATCTAGTTATTTATTAAACTTGGTGAGTTTCTCAATTCCATTCCAGAAGTTTCCTTTGTGAATATTCTTCTGTGTACAGCAAACTCTGTATTGAGCAGGCTTTGTAGGGGCTTTGGTGTTTTCAAAATTACCTTTAAAGCTGCAATAAAGATTTCTCTTGCTCTGCTTAGCTTTCTGACTATCCAGCCAACTTCAGCCGGTGGTGGCACAAAGAGATGAAAGCAGTGAAGTTTCCATCCCAGGAGACAATCTTTGATTATTATCTGGACCACAAAACTAAGAAATTTTTGCCTTGGGCTGACAAAATCCCCCAGTTTACCATGGATCCAGATGTACCTCTGCAGGTGGGTGTGTGCTACAGCAGTATTTGAGCCCTTTTTGTAAAAAATCTTTCTTTCTTGCCAGATGGATAAATTATTATTGTGTTGATATGCTCAGCATATAACATTTTTCTCAGAAGAATCTTAAGTACAGGAATGATTAGTGAGAGAGGCTTTTATTTCTGCAATATCCTTTTTTCTCCCAGTTTATTTCAACTTAATTCTGTTAACAGCTTTTTTCTCTTTTCTTTTTTTAGTTTTCCTAGAGACTTCAAGCGTTTTGTAAAAATTGGAGTCCTTGTTCTGTTAATTCTCTGGTTCTTATATCTGACCTTGCATTAATCTCTTAGCACTTTTCAAATACAGCTTTCATCTTTTACTTCCCCCTGTGAGCCATAAAATAAATACATTTAATCTTAATGTGGTTGTTTTAGATTCCCAAGACAGCTGACAAATCCAAATGAATCTTGTTTTCTTCTTTCTCTGAGATCGAGTTATTCTTTGACCCTCTTCTTATTCTACTTTCATGGGTTTTTTTTCCCCATTTTATTTAATATTTTTCTCAAAATCATGTCATTCTGATTCATCTTGGAGTTTTATCATTTCAAGCAACGCCGTATGTATAGAATACAGTTTGTATCAGAAAGCACCAAGGGTCACATCACAGAAAATCCAAAGTGTTTGTTTGCTGGAGCTGGGACTAGTACTACAAACTAAATGGGACCCCAGGAACCCTTGGCTCAGCTCTGGAGGCTGGAGATTCGGGTTCAGAGTGTTAGTGGGGTGGTTCCTTCTGAGAGCTGTGAGGCCCCTCTTTGGGCTACGGATGTTTGCCAGCTCCCTGGCAATGGTAGCTCAACACCAGTCCTCAACTGACCTTTTCCGTGTGTGTGTGTGTGTGTGTGTGTGTGTGTTCAAATCTGCCAGTTTGCACCACTAATCATTGTGTTAGGAGCCTCCTTAGGTTAGTTCACTAGAATTAGTATCATTTATTCAATAACAACATTACACGCTGAGCAGCTTAAATGATGGAAATTTATTTTCTCATCATTCTGGAGGCTGAAAGTCCAAATGAGCTTGTTGGAGGTTTTGTTTTTCCTCTCCTGCACTTGCATGTCCACACATGGTCTTTTCTCTGGGTGCACATCTTTGCACACTGCCTTGTCTCCCCCATGTCCATATTTCCTCCACATTAGCACTTCAGTCACGTTGCATTAGGGTTTACCCTGTGGCCTCATTTTAAGTTAGTTGCCTCTTCCAAGGGTCCTGTCTCCCAATAAGTCACATTCTCAGGTACTGGGAGTTAAGCCTTCAACATGTAAATTTTAGGAAGACAAAGCTTTGTCCTTTGAGTCTTCAAAATTCATGTCCTTCTAATGTGCAAAATATATTCACCCATCCTAACTGCCCCAAAGACTTTCCCCCTTCCAGCCTTAACTGTAAGTCTCACACCTTAGCCTGTGAAATTGGAGAAGTTATCTGCTTACAAAATACAACAGTGGGCAGGCATAGGATAGACATCTTTGTTCCAAAGGAAAAAAATCAGAAGGTAGACAGGGGTTATAGTTTCCCAAAATGTTTAAAACCTAGTAGAGCAACTTCAGTTAGATTGTTGCAACTGAGAATAATCCTCTTTGGCTCAAGACCCACTGAGAAGTTAGCCCTACCTTCTGGGCCCATTATGGGGGTAGTGTTGTCCCTGAGCTCAGCCCAATGTTCCAGCCCCACCCCCATAGCCCTATCCAGTAGTCCTTCCCCGAGGCCCTGGTTTGTAGCCTCTAGGCCCACTGAAGCCAGAGAAGGGGCCCACCTTCTGAAACTGAGGAGGAGACAGCCTTATCCTCCAGGGCTGTGCCTTTTGGGCCCAGGTGGCAGTGCTGCCATTTTAAATCTCTTAATTAACTTTGGGGTCATTTTCCCCTTTTCTAAAAAGATAACACATGATTGTAGTCAGATGGCTTTTTCTTGTAGATGTCCCATGACCTTCCCCAATTTTGTCCTGTCTCTATCCCCTTTAAGCTGAGAGACCAGGATCCCAAAATTACCTTCAAGAGCCTGCCCCCAGTGACCTGAGGACATCCCACTAGGCCTTATTTCTGAGATTCCACCACTGTTCAGTACTGCCACACTGTAACCTGGCCTTCAGCATGGACCTTTGGGGACCACTGATGAAAGCAAGAGGTGGCTTGGATAAAGTGGGAACTCTGCCAGGAGGGAAAAAGGAGGAGGCAACTAATGATGTCCCTTAAGTCTACTTTATGTATTTTGAAATCTTCAAACTACCTGAATTTTAGTTACTCAGCAATATTATCTAGCTGATTGAAGATTGAGAACATGATAGAATCAATCAAAAATACTGAAGACGTTAAAATTGGTATCATGAAGTTGGTGCACCTTATCAGTTAGCATCATTTATTCAATAGAGAGCTGTCCTCACAGTCCTCAAAGCTGTCCTCACACCTAGCAGTCTTACTCTGGACACAGTTGTACCAAATGTATTTATTGGGTTAACAGACTCTTAATGTGTTAGAAGAAAACTTGGAGGCCTGGCACAGTGGTGCGTGCCTGTAATCTCAGTGGCTGAGGAGGCTAAGGCAGGAGGATCTGTGAGTTCAAAGCCAGCCTCAGCAAAAGTGAGGCGCTAAGCAACTCAGTGAGACCCTGTCTCTAAATAAAATACAAAATAGGGCTAGGGATGTGGTTCAGTGGTTGAGTGCCTCTGAGTTCAATCCCTGATACCCAAGAAGAAAACCATGGAAATAGGTAATAATAAGTCCCCACTAGGCCTCTCATAAGTGCTTTAAATAGATTAACTAATCTTTACAGTAACCTAAGATATGGAGTGTTACTAGCCCTTTTCTTACATATGGAAAATAGGAAGAGATTAAGAAATCAGTCCATAGCTATGCTGGTAGTGGATATAGAATAACCAATGATCCTAGTTTGCCTGAGACTGTGGGAGTTTCAGAACACTAAATTTGAATTTTATTTATTTATTTATTTTTGGTACTGGGATTAAACCAGGGGTACTTAACCAATGAACCCCAACCCCTTTTTATTTTTTTTTTTTTATTAGATGGGGTCTTACTAAATTACCTAGGGCCCCACTATGTTGCTAAGGCTGGGTTTGAACTTGCTATCCTCCTGCCTCAGCTTTCTGGGATGGATAGGGAGCCACTGGGATTACAGGCATACACCACTGCATCAGGCTAGATTTGAAATTTTAAAGTAGGAAATTCTGAGCAAACTAAGAAGAGTTGGTCACACTGTAACAGCAGATCAGATTTGAACCCAGACAGTTCTGCTCCAGAGTTGATGTTCTGAAGGGCATTCTATGTAGAGGGTAAGATGGAGCTTAGGCCCTGACTGACTCAGGTTGGAGTCCAAGTACCACTTCCTAGCCAGCTGTGCTAGTCACTATCACCAGTTACTTACGTTCTCTAAGCTTGAGCTTCATCATCTCTGAAGTGGAAATAATAACAAAAATCTCCCCATAGTACCTGTATCATGTGACAAGATACATGTAAACTATCTAGCATACATTGAGCTCTATCTACTAAGTGTTAACAATAGTGTTAACAATAGAACTAACATGTGAAGAAAAGAACCAATAACCAAAGTAGAAAGCAAATGATGACAACTGAGACCAAGAAAGGAGAAAAAATATAAACTGTCCTCTAAAGAAAAGGAAAAAAAAAAAAGACCTTTTATTGTGGCACAGAACTGACTAGCTTCCAGTAGGCCCTATGTACCACTGAGATAAAAAGAGTTCTAGACTTAATGTTCATGTCATGATTCAATTTGGAACGATTCAGTTGCTATTCAGTGTATTCGAACCCAATGACGAACTGTATGCATTATACTTAACACCTGTTTCTTGTGAACAGTATAAATCCTGCTAGTAGTTTTTCCGTTTTATTTTGGTCTCTGTTTTAGTCAGCTTTTTTGCTGTTGTGACTGAAAACCTCACACAAACAATTTAGAGGAGGAAAAGTTTACTTGGGGGCTCATGGTTTCAGATGTCTCAATCCATAGACAGCAGACTCCATTCCTGAGGGCTTGAGGTGAGGTTTAATATTGTGGTAGAAGAGTGTGGTGGAAGGAAGCAGCTCACATGATGATCAGGACGCAGATAGAGATTCCACCTGCTAAATACAAATATATACACCAAAGCCACTCCCTCAATGCCCCAGCTCCGTCCAGCCACATCCTACATGTCTTCAATTACTACTCATTTACTTCCATCAGGTGATTAGTTCACTGATTGGATTAAGGCTCTCGTAACCTGATCGCTTCTCCTCTAAACCCTTTTGCATTGTCTTACACGTGAACTTTTGGAGGGACACTCACATCCAAACCATAATAGTCTATGCAGCCAAACCGTCAGCTTTTAGTCCCTGCACAGAATTCCATTGCCTGCAGTCGACATCTGCTTACCCCTTTGTCCTGATCTTGCTTGTTAATCCATGTTCCCTGAGTCTAATTTTTCTTGGTGGTTTTCCTTTTGTTGAATTCCTGCAAGTCACTTTGAATTCCCTGTGAAACAATATGGTATATGAGTAAATTAATAGCCAATTTTCAAATGTAAAAAATCAAGCTTTAACTTTTAACAAGGTAATACATAGTAAGTTTCTGAAGTTCTTCAGCTTCCTGGCTCTTCCACTTGAAAGCCTCTTCCGCCTTCAACCACTCTCTCCCCACTCTGACCCTCTTTGGCTGGATTGTGCCATTTAATCTAACTGGGCCAAGGCATTGCCAGTTTCTGAAGAGTGGTGGCCAGCTTCTGGAATGTTCACTGTATTTCCTTCTGTGCCTCAGACGAGGTTGGGGGAAAGGTAGATATCCTGTGATAGAGAGTTTTATCGGGTAAAACTTGGTTCAAAAAATATACATCATTTGCTTATGTTGTGGCGCCTGGATGTCCTCGCCAGTTGTTCTCCAGCTGAGATGTCTGAAGGCTGGCAATTCAAAACTGAAAATTGGATGAAATCTCTCCCCACAGGCTGTTAACTTGAACTAACAATTCTTTGCATCTCAACTCTAAAGTGACTATGTAAGGTCAGATGTAAAATTTTGAAATGCTTGTCTCTGTCTGACCTTTCTCTCATTCTGGTGTCTCCCCCTCCTTCATAGAAAGTTCTGGTTCACACATCAGAGACAACCCGTCTTAGGTATTTCATTGAGTTGCTGCTCAAGAAAGGAAAACCACTCATGCTGGTTGGAAATGCTGGAGTGGGAAAAACGGTCTTTATGAGTGGAACACTGGCGAGCCTCTCTGAGGAATTCCTAGTATCCCGCGTGGTGTTCAACTACTACACGTCGTCTGCAGCCCTGCAGAGTGAGTGCTTCTCCTGCTACATAACAGGGGTGCAGATGTGAGTGAGAGGTAGAGATTGGCTATTAGCACGAGGAGTAGAAAGAGCTCTAGTTGCAGCGTACTTTGAAAGAGAGTTAGGATTTCAAATGTTTGAGGTCATACACAGGCAAAGAAGAAATCTGGAAGGATCTACTTAAGTAAAGACATGGAAGAGAAAATTGTGAGATAAATTCAGTGAATGTGGAAGATGACTGAAACATAGTAGGCAGAAGATGAGGAAAGACTTAGAGTACAGAGTGGGGGTTTTGACGTACATGGAGTGAACAGTGGGTTTTCTGGATAATGAGACTTTTAATGTTAAAATTAGAATAGCCCAATCCTGGACAACCTGGGCTAGCTGACCACCATAACTGTAGAGAAGGCTGAGGTGCAACCAAGCAGTTGGAGTTTCACGTGGGAGGAAGTGGTAAGCCATCAGGAGAAGCAAAGAAATGTCAGATGGGAGCCATGTTAGGAAGAGGTTTGTGAGGTGAGGAGAGAAGTCCTCCAGAGAGTGTCTAGCTGAGCATAATGCAGTCTTGGGCCAGAGTTGTAGAAAGGGAGGTGACAGGTTGGGAACAGGAGGCACCATTTATGGGCTGTTGCTTAGACAGGAGCCCAGGAGAAAGAGTCCTATGAGGCTCTGTAGGTGGCCAACTGAGAGAGTAGTAACCTCATCAGAAGCCCAGAAGGCAAAAGAGAGGTAGCTCTGAGTGGAGAAGAGATGATGTTAAAAGGAGTTTGAAAAGAAATTTGGAATTTGAAAATCCATGTGCCGATGGCTTATAGGAATTAATGGCCACTCAGCATTTGGAAATACGGGGCTGCTGCTTGGAAAAGGAGCACTTCTTTTTTTCATTTTTTTATTATTGTGATCATTTAACAAATTACACATATTTGTTGGCATCCTGGGAATATAACAATTCCTTGATCCCAAGGCCTTAATAGTCTGCTTGAAGAGTAAACATGGAATTAGATACTGTGTCTGAGACACACACTATTCAGGATTTTCCACACCCACGACTCTGACACATTGAAACCAAGTCATAGGCACCTGGAAAATATAACTTTCTAAACACATGGGTCATGTTTACTGTCCTCTGGAGCTTTGAATTTCAGTGGTGTGAGAGGAGAGGTGTTGGAGACTTTCTTGAGCCTCTCCTACAGTGTCCTTGGGAGACCAGACTACAGCAGCACCAGCAGTAGATGTCGGGGAGAGAAGTCTCAGGTCAGCAGGGAGGTAGTCTCAAATGTGACAGACAACGTGAGTGTATTGAGGTCCCCAGAAAAGGAGAGTCGGAGTGACCTTTGGCAACAGAAAGGATATCAGCAGGATAGTGTGACATAGGAGGAGGTAGCTGAAGACACATCCCTGGTATTTAACAGTCGGCAGGTGATACCTGAAACCATGAGATAGATAAGTCAACAGAAAAGGGAGGAGAATAAGAAAAAAAGATAACTAAGTGCAAAAAGTTTACATTTGGCCAGTAATTGGTAAATAGAATTATCTGTTTATATCAGGAATTCTTGAGAAACCTCTAGAGAAAAAAGCTGGTCGTAACTATGGTCCAGGAGGAAATAAAAAATTGGTTTATTTCCTTGATGATATGAACATGCCTGAAGTGGACTTATACGGCACTGTTCAGCCGCATGCTCTGATTCGACAGCATATTGATTATGGACATTGGTAAGCAATTATCTGTATTGTCTACCTAAATCCAATTATTATGGATGAATGTGTTTTTTAAATATTGTTTTTAGATTTTGACAGACCTTTATTTTATTCATTTATTTATATGTGGCACTGTGAATTGAACCCAGTGCCTCACACATGCTAGGCAAGTCCTCTACCACTGAGCCACAACCATAGCCCCATGAATGGACATTTTAAGATGAAATTGTCCCCAAGGTTTTTCTCTTTCAGGGAGCATTTCCTGCAATACTTTTTGGATTTAGACTGTATCCCTATCCATTATATTAGATGAAATAGTTTCCCTTTGTATCTTTGAAAGATTGGATTGAAAAGTAGCCTAGAAACATAGGGACTGTCAAGAGATTATGTTCTCTTTAAAAATTAATTCACTCCCAATTATTAAAGAGAAGCTTGGACTGAGGGTGTAGCTCAGTGGTACAATGCTTGCCTAATGTGAATGAGGTCCTGGGTTCAATCCCTAGCTCTCAGAGAGTGAAAGAGAGAGAGGAGGAGAGAGTAAAAGAAGGAGGGAAGGAGAGAGGGAGAGGAGGGAGGGAGGGGGAGAGAAAAAGGGCACTGACTCCAGTGTGTGGATTTGACATTCTACTTTCTGTCTTTCAGGTATGATAGACAAAAGGTGATGCTTAAAGAAATCCACCACTGCCAGTATGTTGCCTGCATGAATCCCACTGTGGGCAGCTTCACCATCAATCCAAGGCTGCAGGTAAGGTGTGTAATACAGCTCTCCCAAATAGCCCCCAGATGTAATGCTCAAAAATTATGAGTGCAAATTCTTGATGCTTGGTGCTTTTGAATACAAAGTAAAGTTCCTACTGGACATTTTGTTAAGCATATAAACTTTTTCTTAATTAGTAGATTTCCTTTTTTAAGAGCAGTTTTAGATTAACAGTAAAATGAGCTCAAAGTACAGTGTTCCTATATACTCCCCCCCACACTCCATTTTATCTTAGTATCAACCTGTTGCATTAGTTACAACTGTTGAGGAATATTGATACATTATTATTAACTAAAAACTAGAGTTTACACCAGGCCCATTCTTTTTTGGGGGGAGGGGTGCGATACGGGGGATTGAATTCAGGGGCACTTGACCACATCCCCAGCCCTATTTTGTATTTTTCATTTAGAGACAGGGTCTCTCTGGGTTGCTTAGCACTTCACTTTTGCTGAGGCTGGCTTTAAACTTGCCATCCTCCTGCCTCAACCTCCTGAGCCACTGGGATTATAGGTATGCACCACTGCACATGGCTAGACCCATTCTTTATATGAGACATTCTGTGTGTTCTCACAAACACATGAAGAGGGTATCCACTGTTATATCACCATGTAGAATAGTTTCACTGCCTTAAAATCTTCAGATATCCTGCTTTCCCTTCATTTGACCATATGCCCAGAAGTAGAATTACCAGGTCATATGGTAATTCTGTTTTTAACTTTCTGCTGTTCAGTTTTCCACAGTGGCTAAATCATTTTTCATTCCCAGCAGTGATGCACAGCATCCCAATTTCTTCATATTCTTGCCAACTCCTGTTATTTTCCATTTCCTTTTTTTTTTTCATAGTAGCCCATGCTAATGTAGGTGAAGTGTCATCTGATTAGAGAATGAATTTGTATTTCCTTAATGATTAGTGATGTTGAACATGTGGTTATTGGCTGTTTGTGGTGAAATTTCTATTAAAATACTTTGCCTATTTTTGAATCAAGTGTTTTGTCGTTTCTATGTTTTAGGAGTTTCCTATATACTCTGAATATTCTTAAAAACTTATCTTGGGGCGGCGAGGGGAGTGCATTGCCCCCGTGTGCTGCTTCACTGTGTGGGAGTATGACAAGTCAGGACGGCTAAAGGCTATCTTGTTAGGAATTTCCAGCAATAGTGGGGTGCTCCGGAACCTGGAGGAAGGATTTCCATCGCACGAGGATCGGCTACGGGGACTCAAACGCGAGAGGTTTGTCGCACGGAGGGTAACACTGCTTATTCAGCAAATCGCCCCGCGGCTAGAGTCTGCAGCGCATGCTGGGAAACGAGGAGATAGCGACGCAGGGATACAGCGCTGCAGTTTCTGCCAGCCGTGCAAGCACCGTACTCAGGGCTGAATTCTGGGTTTGAGACGGGGGAAGGAAGCGGTCCATCTCGGTTCTCCACACCGGTCAGACCACAGAGGAGGCCAGCAGCCACCATGTTGGAAAGCTGACGTCACCATCCCTGTTTTCGACTGACCGCAGCTCATTCAGCCATAGAACAGGTAATTTCAGGCTGCCATTCGCCTGCGGCTTGCAGACAGATTGCTAGGGTTCAGTGCCTGGGGGCTTCTTAGAACCTGATCTTATTGGAGCGAACACCGAGCGCAGGGCGGCCGAGTTCCGGCTCCCGGAACCGCCCTGGCCCAGGGCTGGGGAGCCTGCGGAAGCTGCTTCTTGGACCCTGCTCCTATCAGAGCATACACCAAGCACTAAGCGGCCGAATTCCGGCTCCCGGAACTGAGCCCGCGGGGACTGCTTCTTGGAGCCTACTCTTATCGGAGCTTACACCGAGCACGGAGCGGCCGAGTTCCGGCTCCCGGAACTGCCCTGGCCCAGGGCTAGGAGCCCACGGAAACTGCTTCTCGGTCCGGGTCCTGCTGAGGGCCGGTCAGGACTCACCCGTTGCTTTGGTTGCCCGGCAAGGGGAACGAAATGCTGCCATTCGCGTAGGATACCAACATGGCAGAGATCTGATGTCATCAGAAAGCGGCGGAGGAGAGAACTTCATCAATACCAGCGGCGACAGAAACAGTTGGTCTCCTGGTAGGGGGGGTGAGGCACAGACACCCGAGTCTCCTCAATTTGTCGTCGAGCCAGAGGGGAGGAGCCGGGCCGCCGCCAGCGCCCGGAGCAGGCCCAGCGGCTCGCCAGCGTGGTGACCGCGTGACCCCAATTGGAGAGGGGGTGGAGCGGAGCCGCCACCCGCACCCGCAAGGTGGGCAGACCCGCGACCTAGTGGTACATGGGCGTGGTAAGAGGGGCAGGGCAGAGCCGCCGCCCGCGCTTGCAAGGTAAACAGACCTGT